GGCTGAACGGTTTAGGTGCTAGTGTTGACAAGTCAATCGTTTTGTTGTTAACAGATATTCCATCCCCTCCCCTATCTTATCACTGACCATCATTCCGCTGAAGATCAATGGAGCACTACGGCGCCTAAGCGATAATCAAGGAGCTAAGGTCCGTTCGCTCTAACTTTACTCAGCACGTCGTTGCTTATTCTCATTGGCTGACGGTCACCTCACTCACCTTCCAGGCATCGTGCGCTAAAGGAGTTAGGTCCCTTTCAAAATTGATGTATTTCCTGATTCTCTACACAAAGTCGAAATAATATTATCCTCTGCCTTGAAGTAAAATCAGACATCAGGCGTGATCTTAATCGTAATTCAGCTGCGAGAGGATCACTTTCAAGTAAAGTTTGTTCGCCAGGCCTTCGACGCCGCTCCTTCTGATTTTGACTAGTTGGATTTCCGATCTTAGATGAGAAATCTCAAAATGAGAGCTGTATTTGTTCAGTGAAAGGTGATGTTTGCTCATTGCTTTGCTTTTTTTGTTACCATCCCGAACAGAGTGTAGCAGTTCCCGTCCGGTATGTCTGTTTTGAAACATTCGCAGGGAAAATTCTTCAGAGGTGCTGAGAAGGTGGTTTTGCATGTGTTCGAATCACTGTCGTGCGGCAGATGGAAAAAATGACACCTGAACTGATAAGGTGTCGACCGGGAGAGATAGCTCAGGGCATAAACTGATGTCACTGCAGTCCCTCTGACCGGGAGATCAAGCCTCTAGGTTCGAGTCCCGACGGTAGGAGAATTTTCGACACTAGCTTGATAGCTAGGTCGAATTCTGGAGAAGAATTCGCTGTCTGTAGGAGAATTCTAGCGGCCGGCCGCTCTGATCGGTAATTTTCCGTGGTTTCTCCGTTCAACAGGCAAATGCTGATGCAGCACCCTACTAAACGGGCCACGGACTGCGCGCGATCTTTCCTCCCCCTTCCTTGTCCTATCCTTTCCTCTCCACTTACACACACACACACACCAGCACATATATATATATATAGTACTATATATATATATATATATATATATATATATATATATATATAGTTGCAGTAACACGCACACATGCCGGGAGACCGGTCGGGAGCTCAGATGGGGCCCGGTTGGAGCGGTGCCCCGCTGGTGGGAGATACCTGGTTGAGGAAAATCTCCGCCAGCCGACGGTAGGTCGTCGCCGAATCTTGCCGTACAGCAGGGAAAGATCACCTACCGAGCAAAAACTTGCACTACTTACGGGACTAATTACCCTGTTAGTTGACGTGCCCGGAATCACTAAATCAATTAATCAATTGACAGGTGTCGATGTTAGAAATGTAGGAAAACTGCGTAGTGAATTACGTCACAAGGAAAGTAACTTCTCCTCGTAAGAAGAGAACAAAACCGGTGGAGGAATAGTGCAATGATTTTGTTAAACCTGCCATTTGCATTCATGAGCGCACTTTTTTCGTTGGAAGGAACTTCCAACATTAAATACAATTCTTGAAGTGATTTGAAAAGAACATCACTGTACTTTATTGGTAATTTCACTTTTCTTTCACCAAAAACTGGGCAGCACTCTGTGCGGGACTAATGACCCTGCATAATATTGTGATGAACGCATTTCTTACGGGAAATTAGAAATACAGGGAAAGGAAACGGGTGTATAAATACGGGTGTATAATGTATAAATTGTACCAATATTTATTTTCATAAAACCTGAATTAAAGGCACACTGCAACTAAGGAATAACATTACATATCTGTTAAAATGGAAACAGGGATGCGTTTGTGGGAGGATTGACCACTGGATTAAAAGCTCCCGTCGGGAAAGGCGAATTCGAAAAGAAGTGGTTTTCTTCTTTTCGAATCGACGAAATCTGGAGATTACCATCAAGATATGAATAGTGAGGCGTTTCAGCAGTGGTTTGAGTGTTCTGCCGAAACGAACCAAATAGTATGATCGTGATGTAAAGCTCCGTACCACTTTGTAAGAGTGAAATAACAAATATTTCTTGGAGAAAGCAATAAATATGACTTCACCCAAGGGTAAAGACCTAGATAATTTTTATTTAAAAGCTGAATAATTGTTAGAATTGACAAAGTACGCTAATGAATGTGAGGTTATAGATGAAATGACAGTCAGTGGACCTTTTTTTTTTGCCATTGCCTTCAAATCATAGAGTATTAAATCTCATTTAATAATACGGAGTTGAGTAGAAGAGGGTGTTGCAAAAAACAATACAGCATACAAATTACATGATGTTCGAACCCTGTTTGGTACGGCATTGTCACATTAGTGATCATGTGAATCCGCCATTAGTCATCCTGTCAAAGTTGAAAAGGAAATATAGCAGGCAGACATTGCATATGTCACTTTCACAGAATGAAGAATTATTAATATGGGGGTCAGTTCTTCCAGCTGCAATGTAGAGTCTTCAGACAGTGCTCCGAGCGGAATTTCATCGCTGCCTTGCAAGAGCACATTGTAAATGTACTGTGATAATTAAGCGAATTATGCTACTTTGGACATGTTAAAGACTTAAAAAACAAAAAAATGTTAAGAGTTCTGGCTGTGGCATGTGCCAGCGTTTGAGTACGGTCGTCGTGCAAATGTCTCAACCAATCACGAACTACAGGGCGGAGAAATACCCTCATAGTTATATTTTTACTTGCGTGGTGAAGTTTTAGCGAACTAACTTGAGCTGAGAAGGTCGTGGCTACATCAGCAGGCTATAGATAAGCAAGGACCCGGCCTAGCGAGGTAGAGAGTGGAAATGGTGAGGGAGTGGGGGACGCCCCTTCCTAAGGCCACAGATACGGATGATTAGAAGTGGTTGTAATACCAGGCGAAGCGAGGGTCGCGTCTTGGCTTGGAGCTGGCTGATAAGGGAAAAGCATTTAGGTTTTTTAATTAACTTACCTCTTTGATAAAACAGTTAAGTTTGCTAGAACTGCGAGAACTGCCGGCTACCGTCGCAGCGCGTGCTTCTTCTGCCAACCGACTGTCCTCGCTTTAGTAGTGTGTCATGCCTTTCAGGTTAATTTTTGTTACCCACAAAGAAATTAGTTCCTCGGAGTGAATTTCGACTCAATCAGTCAAAATCATTTGCTATGCGAAGCTGGGAAGTATTTCAACCAAGCAGAAGACTATCTTGTTGAAGTCAGAAGTTATTTTCACAAATTGTATTCGCCACATTGCTGTGACGAGTCTCCAAAATGCTCAGGAACCTCAAGAAGAAACATCTAATTGTGTGTTTCGATCTGATATGCAAGCAGACGCCGTGTGAATATTCACGGCAATGACACGCATAAAATACAATTTAATAAAATTAATTAATGGACAATGGGCTTTTTGTAGAAGACTAACGCATCGAAAACTATCTGCAAAACAGGATTTCCCATACTCGCGTGATTACGGAATCTTTAGGAAGGAACATCCTCCATGAAGACCTAATCTAGTCCGTAAGTTTTGGAAGTCCACAAGATCAATCTTGCAGATCAATTATTTTGCATGACGAAAGTGTGGAAGCAAAGCGAAAACCTTTCAAATTCACAGAAAGGTTTTCAAAGGAAAAAAATATTTTTGTAAAGAAATAAGTTTTTCTGTTAATGTGTTAAATAAAAATGTTAAATTTTGCTACTAAAAATTGCATTCAAATCAGGTAGCTGAATCTTCCAGCTCAATGTGAACATTTTGTTTTAAAATCTATTTTAAAGTTGTTGTTTTTTTTTTTGCGAGAATTCCCACAGAATATACGAAACGTTGAAGGGAAAATAACACTGGGAACGCTCTAAACTGTTCCTCGTATCGCAGCCTGTTGCTGGCAAGCCCCTGCGTGTAGGCCACACCCACGACGCCTGCGCGTCGCGGGCGGCCGTCCTGCACTCACCGTTGCCCTTTCGACTCGTCGCCCCGCCCCTCTCTCCCTTCTCTTCCATCTCCGCCGACCCCGCTCGCGCCCTTCCCGGCCCGCTGGAGATGAATTCCGGTCGATATTCGCCGACGCCTCTCACGCTATCCTGTGTCCAAAAACGCGGGACCAAAACACCTCGTTGACCTCGTTATTGACGCAATATGCCGATAAACAGCTAATGAAAGGTGCGGCTTGAGTTTCTAAACGAGGCGATAGTTGAGCTTCATGACAGTCTGTTTTTGTATTATCGGGCCGTGTGGTTCAATACTTATAAAACCGCCTTCTTGTAAGACAATATCGTCTCAACGAGAAATGCTGTTGGAATGAGTGTATTAATGCGCCGCCTTTACACAACTTTCGATTCAACTTCACTAACAGTACACTTTTAAATCCATAATGGACGCCAATCATAAAGAGTGGCTCTTCGTTACACTGTGTGGTTGCATTAAATCGGTATTACGTATAATAGTACAATATTAATAAAAATGTATACAAAGCCCGGACTTAGTTTTAGCATACTTTTTTAATGAAGAATAGCGTTTTTTCGGTATTATTACTTCCATCTTCAGTTCTACAATAAACAAACAAGAAAACATGTCTTTACAAATATCGTTTACCGCAGTTAAGTTTCAGGCTTCAGATTGTTAATTTAATTAATTTTTATATTCTACACTTTACCATCTTTTCTCGGTGAAGCACTTGAGGAGGCAGTAATATGTCCGAAATTTTTAGTGCCGTGAAAATAATTACATTAAGCATGAGCTTTTTATTGATGAGAACATAATAAACTGTAAATCACAATTAAAATATTCTAACTCTAGTCGATCTGTCCTATGACGAATACGCTCTTTATGCTGTATGTTCTGGGAAAATAAACTGAATATTAATGAGGCATGTCAGAAAAAAATTATCAGGATGGATTTTTTTTTATTTCTTTGTATAATTCCCTCTCTTATTGTCGGCGAAATCCAAATGTGTTTAGCATTTTACTCCTGAACCATGTGGCATGTCCTTAGAGCGTTACGTGTTTGTGCGATCAGTTCCATGAAACGATCAGTTCCCAGCATACTTCAGTCGCGAAGGGATGGGGCCGTGCTTGCGCAGGTAATCCAGTCCATCCCGACTTCCCTCCTGCCGTTCCTGCAATTTGCCTGATTGATCTTAAAAATTTGTAGTGGTTGAATCTGCGAGAAGGTATAATCGTGCAGAACACATTAAAACAGTTAAACAAGAAGATTTAATCTGGAGTAGATGATAGGTGGGTATGATTGATCAGAAAATCAATGGTGAGTGAAAATACCACTTACAAATCAGCTCACATCTCCGGAAGGCAACGGTTCGGCAGGCGCCGGTCCCTTCGTGTACCATTGTCCATCCGTTTAAGGGGTCGACCATAAATTACGTAATGCTAAAGAGTGGGAAAGGTTTTGAAGCAGCGTTACGCTGCGTTACATAGGATTACGATGGTCATGGTTTAGTGTCACGTATTGCTGATAATTGTTTTTCAACGTTTTCTGAAAAAACTTTTATTTACCCTTGTATACTAAACAATTAACAATATAATAAATTAAAAAAGTTATGTATAAGTTGTTACAATAAATACGTCACAAAGAGAATATTCAAAAATGTACAGTATATTCTAAAGTACAATAAAATTAGCGCGTAGACACAGGTCTCATGCATCATCCGTGACGGCAAGTGCAAGGCTCTTCAGAAATTTTCTTGCACACGCGTCCTTCATTCAAAAATTGTCCTCGATCTTATGTGCAGTCCGTATCGCCAACGATTTTTAAGTTTAATTATCATAAATTTTAATATATTGCACAAATACAATAAATATAACTAATTGTATCAGATTTAATTTGATATTACTTGTTGTAATTGGAGGGGTGGTCTTGTCGCAAGCGTTAGAGCGGGAGGGGTTATTAGAGGGGGAGTTCAAGGACGCATTACAGGTGCCTTAGATGAGAGAGGTATTCACAAATACTCCAAATGTGCGTTACGTAATTTATGAACGGGTGCTAAAGTGGTAGCCTCCTGCGTTCGTCCTCTTTTCAGTTTGTCCTCGTGCTCCGAGACTTGGCTGGCAGAGTGTCTCTTGGTGTGGCGGTGGTGGCGACAGTTAAATATTCAGTTATGTCCTCGGACAGGCATCAAGTCTTGTACACGAGCAGTGCGTTGGCGCGACGGCAATGAGACTCGAAGGTGCAGCACCAGTGAACACATTTGCTCGCGACTGAAACGGCTGAAGCATTGTTCGCGGACGGCGCTCTAATTGTTCCATAAAACAGCCCTAACTCGCTGACAGTGCGCGATTCCTGAAACTTTTATCGGGTTGTGCTCTCAATGTAAAATAAACTTCTCGTCGAAATCCCCTTGCGTGATGGGTTGCATTACAATATTTGTGGGGGAAGTTAGCGGTTATTTATAAATGATTTTTCCCCTCGTGGATATTCTGCAGGACAGTCTTCTTTTGTCGTAAAGAGTATAGCAGTTAAACTGTGTTAAAATAAAACTTGAGGATCGATTTTTTCTTATTTTAGATATTAGCAGGGGATATTCAGTAAATACCAGGTTCAACATTCATGCATGGAAACTAGTACTTAACTTCTGTGTATTGATTCGAAGGAGTTTGCTTTGCGGCACCTCTCCGTACGCGTATGATGAATGGCTATATAAAATGAGTACTGCAAAGTAAATCATTGGGCGACATAAGTCAACATCGCTGTCATCTCGCATTTTCAGAATGATCCCAAGAGCAAATAGTACTTGTAAGTTTCTATGACTTCGTGCTAAAAAAATTAATGTACGCAACTCGAACAAAAGTGTCTTGGCATACTCATTTAAAAATTCCGGACTTAACCCCTCTCGTCGCTTCGTCCGTCAACATTTAGTTCGTGTGCCAAAAACTTGCTTTCTGTACCATGTTCTGCTTTCAAACCACTCAAGTAAATACTAATTTTGACTAGATAACGACCACCCTAAAAGTGTATATGAATTGTTTAGTCTTCAGGTGCGGTGCAAATGCAGTTATTTACATTAGTGGGAGCAGGTGGTCTACATCATTTTATGAAAACTTCAACTTTCGCCGAATCTGAAGAAAACTCAAAATAGTGTCGAGACGTTGTTGTTACACTTAAATTTCGGCTTAATTTTGTAACATTTCATCGTGTATATAATTTTGTTTTAACGCGTGTGCTTTAGCACTTGTTTTAATGTTTTTATAATTTAGCTGATATTCTCTGTAAATATGGAATTGCTTACATATTCCCTACAGACATTATTGTATTTGTGGGTATGTATATTATTACTACAAATAAATAGAAGATTTGAAATTATTTGTGAGGGGGGGTGTCTCCACTACAAATGAAATGAAAATTTTCCTGACTTGTTTGAAGTTTCAGGATACGTAAACTGCTAATGCGATTATTGTTGATAGTGTACTGAAGGTTTTATTACGGGTTGTGGCCGTGATTCCTTTCCCGCTCGATGGGGAGAACTGGCATGCGACAAGTTTCCCCTCCAGGCATCTCCTCCAGTCAGGCACCGCTCCAGTGCATGCAATGCATGCAACTACGTATTATCAGAATATCCGACCGCTAGAATTCTTCTCCTGACAGCGGTTGCATTTGGCCCAGCTATGAAGTTGGTTTTGAAAATGCACCAGCGCCGGGACTCGAAACCTAGTGCATGCAAAGACAGCGTCTTTGAGCTAAACCCAGTCAGTAATTGTTCATGAAAAATGTGCTAAATCGCTGATAGATTTAGAAAACATTCGAGTACCCAACATTGTCCTCAAACGGACTGTGTAGGGTAGCCGATCGCCCGATCTTTAGGCGGTCGTTCGAACGGGCTGTGCGTCTTGTGTTGCAGGGCTCTCAAGAGGTTCTTGTGCGTGAACGCCGTGCTGTGGTGGTGGGAGAAGAGCGGCCGCACCGTCCCAGAGATCTTCGCCGCTGTGGTGGCCCGCCACCCTGACAAAGTAGCCTTCCACTTCGAGAACAAGCGATGGACCTACCGCGAGGTAAGCGAAAGGCGTCGCGCGATCCACGGAGTTGGGAATGACATTTTTTTTAAGTATCGATACGTATGTATTCAATATTGAGTATAAATATAAGCAATATATTACATTTCTTTACATATGCTAGTATCATGCAGCAGCAGAAATTCTGCTGAACAGTACCGCGCAAAATTGTGTTCCAAAAAGTAGCACGTTCACTGTTCAAGAAAAACTAAAATACTCTCGCATAATACTAGAATAAACTAAACATCTTAACAAAGACAGCCTTCGTACGAATACTGCAACAATTTAGATAGTACAACAGTTCTTTACATTTCAAAAATATTAAAGTAGCTTTTCCATTACGTAACACCTGACTAGCAAATATTTAATGACGGACAGCCTCTTTTCTGGAACTTCGCTGACGCATGACGTCAGCTGTGTAAATTCAGTTCGCACTCTCGGTATGATAATAGGTGGAATAACACAATCAAATATTTGCATTTTTAACTCAGTCGAAAGTGTTTCATTATTCGGGGATTTTTCCTAAGTTCCTAGGAACCTAACAAAATTAGACCCTTCTCAAATAAGACGTCTGTATAGTTTTCTTTCAATTTCCGAACGCATTGAAATTCAGTAACTTACACATGCATACAAATGTCTTAGAATAAATGTTACGAACTTCTAGGACGTGTAAAGAAGTCGAAAATAATAACTTTTTGCCAACAAACCTAAAGTGCAAAATTTCATAGAAGACTAAAACTCATTTATTGCACGTGCTTGTTTTGGCAACCCCGTTCGCACATATTTGGTAGGAAATCTTGACAGAGTCAGTTACATGAATTACTAGCAAATAGCGTTATTTTGCAACACCTCTACGTGTCCTAGAAACTTATCGATAATATTTAATGAGACGTCCTGATATACACATTGCGAGTCATTTCAAATGAAAGAAAACATCGCCATCTCTTCTCAATTACATGAATATATTTATGTAAAGTTGTTTTTTTCTGGGAAACTATTCGTACAGCGCAGATGGGTCCTGGCGATGTATTTTGTATAACGACCACAAGATTGTGATTGAATCGAAGCGTTGGGGATACTTCTATGCTGTGAGCATAAATACATTTTCCTGTAATCAAATTAAGAAAAATCAAAAACTGAATTCCCGAAATTAGGGTGCAATTTACGACGATATTTTATCGCGCGCGGCCCTGCAGTCGTGCCCGGCCTTATCTCACCAGCCGACATAGGCTAGACAGCCGACCGTAAGAATTGTAGTTCACTCGCTATTCGCAAATACGAATGGCCTTCCGAGTCTTAGAAAGAGCACAAAGTTTGGTAACAACCAGTGTGCAACGTAATTGAAACACAAAAAATAAAACTATCTACGAGAACTTTAAGACAAGAGACAAAACGGTAAAAGGATTGTTTTTTGCTGATCATATGAGGAAGACGCAGGTGTTTTTGCATCTGAAATGACTGGCACTGTATATGTTCGTTGTCAGCATTCAGTTGTTTTTATTTTTTTTTTTTAAGAATATTAAACCTCATGGGGGGTCTGGGTCTCCAAATTAATGGGGCGGGGCGATTCTATGCACAAGATGCAACCATTGAACTGTCAAAAACACTTCGAAACAATCAAGCTGACAATTTTACAAAACAATTCTAAATTATGTTAACTAATCCTATACAAACGGATAATAAGGCTAGGGGTGATAACTGTGTCTGCATTCTGTGCAAAAACACTCGGCCACAACCGACCGGCTGCCTAACGCCCAGAAATGGATTCTCGAACGATGACAACAGTGCTCGCCGTCACCACTCTCCGCTCCGTTCACTGCGTGCGCTGCCGATATTCGTATCTGGCGCAACTTTCTCAACTCTGAATGAACATGGATTCGAATTCTGTCATTCTTTGGGTGTGAGTGGGCTTCTTAACAATATTTATTCAAGAGATCTGTAACTAAACATTTCCCAACTCTGCGAATTCTTGCGGCGATACTTCACTGCCTTCTCAAGGCATATTAAAGCACTGCACTATTTCTTTAGTATGTTCCGTATTTTACGGACTAGAAGATGCTACAGACTATAAGAAGACTTAATTTTAAACAATTTCTTTAAAATATATTTTATAGCCTACATCATACGAATATCTTTTACTTTTTTCCATTACGAAACTAGCTAGTAAGAAAAATATTGTATTCTTACCGCTAACACAACCTTTCAGTTACATGTCACTGGCAAACGTAGTCTGCAATGGCGTATCATAGGCTAGACAGTATTCTGGGTATGTATCGGAGCGGGAAGGAGACAGTGTCTGAATCCCTGCGATTCATCTCCGTCGCATCGGTGCACTGCTGCTGTCTGTTGAATCCAGTGTTGCCAGAAAAAGTAGGTTTTCCGCTGCATGGAATATAAATGGCAATTTTTACTTTCCCATATACGTACGTATTTACTGAGTAATATACGTAGTATAGGAAAAGGTTATGTAATGCTGCGGAAAATAGACTTCGATATTTTAACGGAAATACATTTTGGGGTCCCCTGATATCCAAAAAGTGGTTATATTCAAAATGTCCGTCCATCTGGTGTATATGTACAACACTAGGGCCAAAACCATGCCTAGGATTTGTTAGAAATTGAAATTCCTATCCATTTGTCCTGAGTTGAACCTCTGCGATTTTGGAAATCATTAATTGTTGGAGATACTTAACATGAAAGCCCCTGAGACATTTTCGAAAACTGCTCCAAATTTTTTCTTTAAATTTCTTGTACGAATAGAGTAAAGTACACTTATTAAGGGAGCATAGGTTCTATTTTCACTGTTAACTCTAAGTTTTTGAAACTTTCAAAAATTTGAATTTTTTCTGCTTCTTACAAAATTCAAGATAGGGGTTTCCCGTCAAATGAGATTAATTGTTCATAATTAGTTCTTTAATTAAGGCCATGTACAGTTTCTGAAACTTCAATAGTTTTCGTGCAATATTTCAAGCAATATGAGCCATTTTAAAAAAATTACAAAATCACGATTTACTCAAAAACGGCTTCAAAATTTGTCTTTAAATTTTTAGTAGGGAGAGTGAAATATATACTCTATAAGATGGTATAAACGTCACATTTCTCTTATCTTGTTTTCAATTACAAAAATGCATTATTTTGACTTGTCGCTCACGTCGTTAATATTTATAGTATCGGCAATTTGTTCACACTGTATTTATGAGTATGTGTGCGTTAATAATGTCAGTGACTTTCTCGAAAACATTTTCAGAAACGCTCGAATATATTTTTTTCAAAAATGACTCCAAATTTTTGTATCAAACTTTTCGAATGGATAGTGCTAATTGCAGACTTCATTATGAACTAAGTTCGTTTCAAGAAATTTTGTTTTTTAAAAATTACACACATGTAATTCCTTCGAAAGATCTCTCACGCATTTATATTAGTTAACATGCACATTTCCAGTGGTTTGTAGACAGTATTGTATTTGTGAGTTAATTTGCTTCAAATTACTTAAAATGAAAGTTGTCGAAAACTCAAATTTACTATGACAAAGAGCTTCAAATTTTGAATTTACCGTAGCGCTTAAACGCCTTTTGAAAAAAAAAAAATGATCCATACTTTTCAAATAAAATTGCCAAGGTTATACTATTCTTTAATATTCTTAAAACGAGATTTCAGTTTTACTTTTAGGAAACCAAAAAATTAGTAATTTCAAAATATACTTTGGACGGCATTAGATGGCAGCTGGCAAGAGTATGTTGCAATTTCCAATAGCTAGCAGAGACCAAAAGAAATAGAAAATTAATACGGGAAAGTGGGCCATTCGTTAGCACCACTAGTTAAGACTGGCGGGACTTTTAGATCATTTTGATATTAATTTCCAGTATCAGGCGCACCTGAATTTTGGAGGCAATTTTTCGAAGAAAGTGCGTCTTATAGTTCGTAAAATGCAGTAATATAATTTCTACTTTTATTTCTACTTTCTGAATTCAATTTAATTTTAAATCAAAGAAATTACACGAAAGGTCATGAGTTGTTTATTTTCTTAAATATCTAGATGTGTTATGATTTTACATGAACATTCCGAATTATATTTGTGAAATAAAATCATTGAAAGTGAATCATAAGTGAAATTTTAATACCAAAATTTTGTAATAATCCTATATGATCGTTTATTCGTAAAAGTGTAATACTAAGTTCACGCACTTTTTTCAGAATCTCTTCTCTAATAGTTTCTTTATAACTTCTGGTACAGCAATGTCTCCTTGCTATTTTATTATTGTATTTATTTAAACGGTAAACGTGATGGAATGGGCAGTTCAGCGAGTGCGGGAGACTTCTGAATTGTGAATGAAATCCATTGAAAGGGCGGAGCGAGAGCGCCGCCGCTCGTCGTGTGACTTCGGTAGCGGCGCGCGCTGCTACCTTCCCAGCATTCGCCAGGTATAGCTTCGAGAAACGGGCAGCGGTTAAACTCGGTTTGAAGATTCTCCTCCTAACAGGACAAAGGATGCAACAACCAAACATGGCGACGCTCGTATGAACGAACCATTTTGTACATACGTTGACACACACCCCCAGCAACGCAATACGGAAGAGGTGTGGCGGCGGAAGACTAAATTCTCTTAACCTGCCACCCCGAAGTTGCCTCACTGACGCCGCTTTGCCTCCCAGGTGGACGAACTAAGCAGCCAATTGGGCCGCTACTTCTCGGCGCGCGGCCTGAAGCGGGGCGATTCAGTGGCGCTGTTCATGGACTCTCGCGCGGAGTACGTGTGCGCGTGGTTGGGTCTGGCCAAGAGCGGCATTGTCGCCGCCCTTATCAACACCAACCTGCGCCAAGGCCCGCTCGTTCACTGCATCCGCGCCGCAAACAGTCGCGCCGTCATCGTGGGAAGTGAACTCGCCGCAGGTACCAATACTAAACACTTTTTCCATTCCTACGTGTATCCCCTCCATCTGCTTGGCCTCTGGGTTTTGCCACCGGCTCTGCCTGCTTGGCCCCTAGGTTTTGCCGCCGCCTCTGCCTGCTTGGCCCCTAGGTTTTGCCGCCGCTTCTGCCTGCTTGGCCCCCTAGGTTTTGCCCGCCGCTTCTGCTCTGCTTGGCCCCTAGGTTTTTGCCCGCCGCTTCTGCCTGCTTGGCCCTCCTAGTTTTGCGGCCGGCTCTGCCTGCTTGGCCCCCTAGGTTTGCGCCGCTTCTGCTGCTTGGCCCCCTAGGTTTTGCCGCCGCTCTCTGCTGCTGGCCCCCTAGGTTTTGCCGGCCGCTTCTGCCTGCTTGGCCCCCTAGGTTTGCCGCGCTTCTGCCTGCTTGGCCCCTAGGTTTTGCCGCGCGCTTCTGCTGCTTGGCCCCTCTAGGTTTTGCCGCGCTCTTCGCCTGCTTGGCCCCCTAGGTCTTTGCCGCGCTTCTGCCTGTTGGCCCCTAGGTTTTTGCCGCCGCTCTGGCCTGCTTGCCTAGGTTTTGCGCCTTCTGCCTGCTTGGCCCCTAGGTTTTGCGCCGCTCTGCCTGCTTGGCCCCTAGGTTTTGGCCGCTTCTGCCTGCTTGGCCCCCTAGGTTTTGCGCGGCTTCTGCCTGCTTGGCCCTAGGTTTTGCGCGTCTTCTGCCTGGCTTGCCCTAGGTTTTGCCGCCGCTCTGCCTGCTTGGCCCCCTAGGTTTTGCCGGCCTGCTTCTGCTGCTTGCCCCCTAGGTTTTGCGCCGCTCTGCCTGCTTGGCCCCCTAGTTTTGCCGCCGCTTCTGCTTGCTTGGCCCCCTAGGTTTGCCGCCGCTCTGCCTGCTTGCCCCTAGGTTTGCGCCGTCTCTGGCTAGGTTTGCCGCCGCTTTCTGGCCTGCTCCTAGGTTTTGCCGCGCTCTGCCTGCTTGGCCCCTAGGTTTTGCCGCGCTCTGCCTGCTTGGCTCCCTAGGTTTGCCGCCGCTTCTGCCTGCTTGCCCCCTAGGTTTGCGCCCGCTTCTTGCCTGCTTGCCCTAGGTTTTGCCGCCGCTCTGCCTGCTTGGCCCTGGGTTTGCCGCCGCTCTGCCTGTCTTGGCTCCCCTAGGTTTTGCCGCCGCTTCTGCCTGCTTGGCCCCTAGGTTTTGCCGGCCGCTTCTGCCTGCTTGGCCCCCAGGTTTTGCCGCCGCTTCTGCCTGTTGGCCCCTAGTTTTGCCCGCCGCTTCTGCCTGCTTGCCCCTAGGTTTTGCCGGCGCTCTCTCTGCCTCTTGGCCCCCTAGGTTTGCCGCGCTCTGCCTGCTTGGCCCCTAGGTTTTGCCGCCGTCTGCTGCTTGGCCCCCTAGGTTTGCCGCCGCTTCTGCCTGCTTGCCCCTAGGTTTGCCGCCCGCTTCTGCTGCTTGGCCCCTAGGTTGGCGGCTTCGCTGCTTGCCCCCTAGGTTTTGCCGCCGCTTCTGCCGGTTGGCCCCCTAGGTTTGCCGCCTTTGCTGCTTGGCCCCTGAGTTTAGCCGCGCTTTGCTGCTTGCCCCGTAGGTTTTGCCGCCGCTTCTGCTCCTGCTGGCCCCCTAGGTTCTTCGCGCGTTCTGCCTGCTTGGCCCTAGGTTTTGCCGCGCTCTTCTGCTTGCCCCCTAGGTTTTGCCGCCGCTTCTGCCTGCTTGGCCCCCTAGGTTTTGCCGCCGCTTTGCCTGCTTGGCCCCTAGGTTTTGCCGCCGCTCTGCTGCTTGGCCCCTAGGTTTTGCGCCGCTTCTGCTGCTGGCCCCTAGGTTTGGCCGCCGCTTCTGCTGCTTGGCCCGCCTAGTTGCCGCGCTTCTGGCTCCCCAGTTGCCGCCGTCTGCTGCTTCCCCTGGTTTTCCGTCTGTGCTGCCCCTAAGGTTTTGCGCTCGCTCTGCTGCTTGGCCCTCCTAGGTTTTGCCGCGCTTCTGCCTGCTTGGCCCTAGGTTTTGCCGCGCTTTCTGGCCTGCTTCTGCCTGCTTGGCCCCCTAGGTTTTGCCGCCGCCTCTGCCCGCTTGGCCCCCTAGGTCTTGCCGCCGCTTCTGCCTGCATGGCCCCTAGGTTACCTATTCCAAAAATATTTGTGGAAGTAATATAATTTGTTTGTTTTTTAGCACTACGTGAAGTTACAGGGGAATTGGCTGATCTTAGTGTGTATGAGTGGCATGAGAGTGGGGAGAGTAGCACCTCCGTTATTCCTGGGGCTATAAACTTAAGAGAAAGTCTTGTGCCTGTGGACAAAAGCACTCTTATTACGAAAGGAGGTCCTAGAGACAAACTTGTGTATATTTACACATCAGGCACTACTGGTATGCCGAAAGCTGCAGTTGTTACTAACCTCAGGTAATTCTTTGTGCTTGAATCAGATCATAATATTTTTAAAGAATGTTACAGAAATTTATTTTGTACTAATGCTATTTTATCATTTTCTGAAATTATACACTTATTTAAGATATAATTTTGTTTTTTCCATAGGTTCATGTTTATGGTGACAGGAGTATACTATATGTTGGGACTAAAACCTGATGACACTTTATATGATCCCTTACCTCTGTATCATACTGCTGGAGGAATGTTGGGAACAGGTCAAGCAATATTATATGGATTAACTGTAGTCATTAGACGTAAATTCTCAGCCTCAAACTTTTGGACTGACTGTGTAAAATATGACTGCACGGTATGAATTTGTCAATAATTAGTGAGTGAATATTTTCTGTCAACTTTCTTCTGAAAGAAGCTTCTTTTCAAACAAACAGGTTGCTCAGTATATTGGTGAAATTTGCCGTTACTTACTTTCAACTCCAAAGAAAGATGATGAAACCAAACATAGAATTCGCTTGATGTTTGGTAATGGTCTGAGACCTCAAATTTGGCAACCTTTTGTTGAACGGTTTAAGGTTGGACAAATAGGTGAATTTTATGGAGCAACTGAAGGCAATTCTAATATTGGTAAGACTGTGTATAAACTTGGCTTTCCTTATTTGTAATTTCTTAAATGTGAAAACTTAAGTCATTAATTGCTATTGGTTCTGTACTATACATACCAAAGTGTAAGAATAGATATGCAAGTGTTACCCCCAACAAAAGGTACAGTTTAAGTCGAATAGAAATTAATGTATTGATACTCTGCGGGATTTTTTTAAGCAATGATAATGTCTAACATAACTTCATTTGCTATAAAATTTAGCATTTATTTGTAGAAATTAATGGAACAATGAAAATATGTGGTAGAATTACAACCTCTTTTCCTTACAATAATCAAAAAAATTTTGAACAAACAGTATTTAAGCTTATTTGTACTTCATAGGGTATTGTAGTGAAACAATTCTTTTTCTTTCTTTCTTTCTTTGTTTTTTTTTCTTTCTTTCTTTTTTTTCCTTTCTTTTTTTTTTCTTTCTTTTCTTTTTTCTTTCTTTTTTTTTTCTTTCTCCCACAGTTGATTAATGATAGCACCCATAAGATATTAACCCTTTTCTGGGCAATCAATTTTAATGATACAACCGGGCAAGTGGGGTCCAGCAGACCCAGAATTGTCGCCGATGGAATTTTGTTTACAGGTGTACTTTTTTGACATGGATAATGAAGCACAACACTCTAATATAATCGTTGAATATAACAAAACCTTTCAAAATATTTCACTTTTTTTTTCTTTCTTCTTCTTTTCTTTCTTCTTTTTTTTTTTTAAATTCTTTGTTTTAATTACAGATAACACTCTCTCTACCTGGGTATGTTCACTACAAATAGGTTTTGAACACATGCTATGTCTTTGTTTCCTACTTCTTTCCAGAAGACACACATACCTTGTTTTTCTGCATTGTTTTAATTTTCTTAGTTGTGGAAGCTGCTTCTTCCCTCATAAGATGTGATTGACAGTTGACAATTTTTATTCAATCTTGTTTGACTGTCTCGTTACATTTTTGGGTACAAACCAAATCCATTGCAATATAATCAGTAAATAATCATATAATCTCATGTTTTCCAACATTGTCAGGGCCAGCAACATACCTATTGCTGTGTAGTTTTCCCCACAAATACCTGGACCACAAACAACTTCGAAAACTCACCCTCCTGACTCTTAGTAACCCGCTACATACTAAGCCACAGCAACACTGTCTACGAAGATGTTGAGGTCCAATGGACCTCAGTTGCCTAAATAAAGGTTAAAGAAAGTTACCTAATGAAATAATCTACATATCTTAATATCCTTATTTTATGATAGTTTCTAAAAGTTTAATCATAAATTCACCCACTTTGTGACCGAGATCTAAATAACCATGTGATATATTTATTAATTAATTCTTAAATTTTTAATTTATCTATCAGAAAACCAGTCTTAATTACTCTTTTACTCTTAAATGGAAAACAAGGGAAAAAACAGAACTTGTTGATTTTTGTTTAGTGAACATTGATAACACAGTTGGGGCAGTTGGATTCATTCCTCGCTATGCTGCTCATGTTTATCCGGTTGCTTTAATAAGAGTGGACAAAGAGAGTGGAGAACCAATTCGTGGAAAAAATGGATTATGCATTGTGTGTAAACCAGGTATGTAATCGCTTAGCAAATTATAATGTTATCTTCATCTGACCTTATTTATTGACTAGTAACAAAATTGCATTTAAAATGAACTAAACTTCAGGCAGACAATTTTCATACTCCTAAAGACGTCTGTGTAGAAAAAAGTGTTTTTTCATTAATTTCATTAAGTTTCCTTTCCTTGATTTTCTATCATCAGATGTTCTTCCACTAAGGATTACTTCTAACCTTATTTACTAAGGTAAAAAATATTAACAAGTGAGAATTAATTAGTTTCTTCATAATTTTTTGCATTCTCATAATGATTGGAGCATTCCCTCAAAAGGAATTTTACATGCTTTCTTTACATCCATGTATTTCTCATGTTTAATAAAATATGCCATTTCTAAGATGTGTTGCAATTAAGATAAAAATGTTTTTGCATTAGGTGAACCTGGAGTTTTTGTAGGAAAAATTGATTCAAAAAAGGCTATAAATGACTTCAGTGGGTATGCAGATTCCAAAGCAACTGAAAAGAAAATTATAAAGGATGTTTTCAAGAAGGGGGATAAAGTATTTAACTCTGGTAAGATAATTTATTTTGTATTTAAAATGTTAATGGCCTTATGGTAAAAACCATAATGAAAATAAGAACAACCATCAAATAGTATTGTGAAAATATTTTAAATTTAAGTTAATTTCTATAAAATCCTGAAATTTAGAGTAATGTAGGTCAATAAAAAATTTATTTTTCTCTAGGTGATATGCTTGTAATGGACGAGCTAGGGTACTTTTTCTTCAAGGATAGAATTGGAGACACATTTAGGTAAGAGATTTAACAATTAGAAATCGGAAAGAAAAATTTGCTTGAACCTATGTATGTACTTGGGCTGTATTTCCTGTCATCAGTCAGTAGTCTCTTCCTGTACTTAAATAGGAATAACACACAACATATAACAAGTATAATAATGGATGACATGGCAGATAGCAGGCACTGTATGACAGACTGATCTGATTACATTAAAAGATTGTTATTTTACATGCCTAACAGAAGTCTCTAACACATTAAAAAATCTAAAATCTTTCAGAATAATAATTGCCAAGCAACTTCTGAAACTTGTTAAGAGGCCAGTATACAATTACCCAATCAATGAATCGAATCTCTTTGCCTACAGCACATGTGGGGGCACTTTCCAAGGTTGTCAAAGAACAGCTAGGTTTCTTCTCAGAATCCAACATGTTATGACCCTTAGAGAAGAGTGGGATAGCTCTGGATTGTGAAGATGGTTTTAGATTTTTACATTAAACTGAATTGTTTTTGAAATCAAAGTATCCTAGTGTTTAAGGTGATATTTTCCTTTGTTTGTTTTTGTAAAAGAAAGAACTGTTTCTACTCTCTAGTTTTAAAAAAGATGTATCGGAGCAAAAATGTTTTACAAACTTGATACCAGCTGGTAAACTCTAACATGATATTTTCATAATACTTTTATTTTATCAAAATGTAATGGTTATCATTCCAAGTTATGAAGTAATCATATATTGAATCAAATTGTACAAACTGCTTTGTATAGTTCTGAAGCATGAATTGATTTGATTTGCAGTTGGGAATAGAAACACTGGGGGAATGTTCTTCTTAAATGTCATAAATAAAGAATAACAGAATCCTGAATCACTAATGGAAATGTGAGCAATATGAACTTTAAAGCCGCAAGTATTTTTATCAATACCCAGAGGACTGAATTTACTATATTTTAAGAGCCAATAAAAAAGGTTTTGGGACTTTTTCTGAATGTGTGAGAATGGGGAAAAATGCTAATTTTTCAAATTACTTTCAAACCATGCTGGAAAAAAAAAATGAATTTCCCTCACTAAGATCAAACAGATTTTCTCTAGAACTGTTTTAAACCAGAGTATGGGTTATTAACTAAACCCCATTAGTATTTACGTTTAACCATTAGCAGATACTATAATCAAACTTGCAAGCTTCTGGAACCATGAAAAATCATAATAATTTAGGGGAATATTTGTTTCATTCTTATCTTCAGAAGTTTGAGTTAACTATTACATTACAATACAATACAAAAGACTATTTTTGAAATATGGTACTACACTTCAAAAAGAAATGTAGGATGAAGAAGCACTCTTACTAAAATTTGTGTTAATCACAGCATTAAAACACGTTAATTTAGTGGGTTTACTGGTTGAGAAATTGCAATAGTTTTCAGTGATTCCCGAGTAGAGATTTTGATGATAAATTAAATGTATCTATATCTAAGTAGTCTTGATTTGTATCTCCATTAATTTTATATTCTTTGGGGGAATACATTTTTCAGATGGAGGGGTGAAAATGTTTCCACAGCAGAAGTTGAAGCAATAATCAGCAATGTTGTAGAACTCAATGATGCAGTTGTATATGGAGTTGAGGTAGATGATGTTGTCTTTACATTACTTATAGATGATACATTCAGTGCTCTTCTCCTTTTCTTTTACATACTTATGATTTTATAGGTTCCAAATGTAGAAGGAAGGGCTGGAATGGCTGCTATTGTTGATGAACAAGGCAATTTAGATCTGAAAAAGCTTGCTGAAGGTGTCAAAAAGAATTTACCAGCATATGCAAGACCATTGTTTCTTCGTGTATTAACGAGTTTACCAAAGACTGGTAAGATCCATAAACATTAAACTACAAATAGTCATCATATTTTTTTTAATGAATTTAATGAAGTGTAAAAGGTACAAAGAAAAGCATTAGCTTAAAACCTTTTGGATCACATTCAGCCATTTGTGTTGGTAGAAAATTAGCATTCTTATAATAAAGATTTTACAGATCAGGAGCATAGCTCTTGAATATAAATTTATATGCTTTTACATAAATATGAAATTTAATGAATTTTGTATTTCTGATTTACAGGAACGTACAAATTGAAGAAGCAGGACTTGCTTCAAGAAGGATTTGATCCAAATGTTATCTCAGACAAGTTATATTACTTTGAGAATCCAGGCAACTACATACCTCTCACTCCAGAACTGTACAATGATATTTTAGTAGGAAAAGTAAGGCTTTAGCAAGTCTGTTTTCGTCTCAAAGGACTTGGGTGTATATGTGGAAGTTAAAAATCAAATAAGACATTTTTTTAATTTTTCATCTGGCTGTGGAAAGCCAATTACCATAAAGTATGGCTGGAGATGATATTCACTACTGAGAAGTATGAAAAGACTAATTTCAAGTAAGAATGTGAATGTATATTTTTACATTGAAATATCGATAGGATAGTTGGAACTTGTTGCATTGTTTTGTGGAGAATATAATATATTTTTCATACTAAATAATTAATTTACATAAAGAAAAAAGCGCAAGTCTTATCTTTGTAAAGAGAGTTCAGACATAGAGAATATTTGTTATGTAAGAGTTAAAGAAGTGAAAGGACAGGTAGTAAACCTTTTGATTGTTAGTTTAATGGTATGGAATGAAAGTGGAAAAAGTTTGTCCAAGTGCCATACTTCCATTCTATAGGGACCAATCTCAAATGCAGTTTTGTTATTTATTCTTTTGAAATACATGACTGTATCTAAATACACATACTTGAGGAGCTGTTGTAAAAAAAAACAAAAACAAAAAAAAGAAACAATATTTAAGTGCCAGTTGTCTAACTACAGAGAAATGGACATTTGTCTTTCTAATGTTAATTACCAATTGGAAAGTGAATGAAAAATATTCAAACTCAGTGGTAAATGAAAACAGTGCTTTTAATATAATGGTGCTGTACATTTCTGAGAATGGCATTAAAATTGCAAAGTCACAAAATTGTGTAACTTAGTTAAATTCCTTCGAATTTCTTTATATGAACGAATGGAAGTTGGTACAGAATACTTATTTATAGTGTAGAATTTAAATGTTCTTTGTACATTGAATTTGGTTGTGAATAGAATGTACAATCGTGTTCTTTCTCTATCAGTCTTCAGTGTAGTTCTGCAGAACTGTATTTAAAATAGTTCTTTTCTAAACACAATGGATTTTTACAATCTACAAAAACTTGAGTCACAAAAAATAATGAAATTACTCCTACATAAATTTACACATTACTCCTACTTAAATACCACACAATGTGTCCAGTATGAGTAATTTGTGTTATGATGGCTCAAAACTTAGAGCTTACCTTTCGAATCTCACAGAGACCAGTACATCAGTCTGCAGTACTATGAATTTTCCCATTTATTAGCTCTTTAATGAGCATGTTAATTGTGTGCATGGAATATTTTTCTTATTTAGAATGGTACAAAGTTTTCATCTTGTTGAATACAAACAATATTTGTGTATATTAAATGGAAGAATGTGTAAACTACACTGTATTATTTTAATAGCTTAATCATTCTTCACCACAAGTATGGTGCTTCAACGTTTTCTTTGAACATCATTAGCATTCTACATTTTGTGAATTATTTTAATTGATCCTTCCTTCCTTCCTTTACTTGTAAGTCAAAAAGCACGAGTGCTTTCGTACTAATTGTCTGCCTGTTGACTGCATGCTATGCACTTCAACCTTACGAAATCATTAACTTGCTAATGGTAAGTTTTAGCATTATCTTCAAATGTTCACTTGGGTTGTGACTTTAATATGGCTGCATTACACTCTGCTACAAATAGGCTTTCATTATATTAAAAAAAGATAATTTCTTTTTAATCTCAATGTGTACCAAAAACTGAAATCTTTAGATGACTTTCAGCACTTAGTGGTTGCAATGCTTCTCCTTGGCAAAGAGTTTACTAGTGGATTGAAGCATTCACAAGAATGTAGGATGGAAAGAGCAAGACATGTAGCCTTATGCTCTTCCAATCTCAATATTCAGCAAGTCCATTGTCCAATTCTGAATAACAGATAAAGAATTATTGATGAATTCGGCAAATCACATGCACATTAGCCAGTTCTACTTAGCAGAAAACAGATTGTTGAAAGACCTTCTGTTGCGAGACAACAAACATTACCATTTCACTTATTTATGTACAAATGGTTGTTGTTTTTTTTTTCCTACTTTTGAGGGATGAGAAAGTTGGTTCTATGATGAAGTACTTTGAAAAGCATGGTGCCATTGTTTAAAAAAATGGTCTCCTTGTAAACTTTGTACTGTTATAATCAATTGCTAAGTTCAGATACTTAAAAGACTTGCCCGCACATTGACAGTGCAGTGATGATGAACCTATGGCAAGAAATAAATTGCTGAACAGTTTGAGTACACTCAAATGTTTAGAAATACTGTTCTTCAATCAAAATTCTTTCGTAAGGCCTTGCTCTCAATGTAAAATACTTATGAAGACAATAAAAGAAGCAATGTCAAGCCCAGAGAATCCATGAGAGTTTGTACTCTCCTCCACAACATTTAATTAACAATAATTGTTATTATTTTAGTTGTTTAATGTTACTGGCAGCAGTACACTGATTACAGCTCAATCAGTAAATATTAGTTGTGTAGAATAGTAATATAATAGTGAAAATTTAGTGTAATTGTAAACATCAGTAGCCCAAAACACAATATCCAACATCATTTTCCTCAGAACATGTCATTGAAGCAAAGTTGATTGGATCTCTCAATGTGGTCCTGGCCTGAGCTACACGGTCCAACCTACACTAGTAACCAGGGATCCAAAAGGTTTTATATCTTTGCTTGGATTTGTCAGTCATTCATGATTTTATAACACTGTGGAAAATTATTCCAGAGTTCAACAATTATTATTGGTTATAAATTTCTTGTCCTACAGCATTTTGAATTTTGTATTGCTGTGTTAAATTGTGCTCCCTCAGTTACGTATTGTTGGGGCATATGTATAGATGCTATACTTAAGACATTGTAGAAGTCTTTCATGATTTTGAAGGTTTCTTTAATATCTGCTATCAACGAGTTCAAAGGGAGCTACATTTGTAGTAGTGTTCATAGGAAAGGCTTCTTGGGCCAATTGGAATGTGGTGATTCAGAGAAACACACTCCACGTCTATATCTTTTCACATACATGAGTTCCATACCGGGCTTCTGTACCCTGTTTTTCTAAACAGCCACACAAGTATTCCCATAAAGCCCAAATGGGAGACACTTCAAGAAGATATTTACATACTGTGTCAATTTTCTTCAGCAAAATTTACGGAGGGGAAGCAGTCTAACCTTGGACCCTCCCCAAAATACTTCCTCAATTCGTGCCTGATAAAGCAGAGTACTTGCTTGGGCCCGAATATGAAAAACCAACCTCTAATTGAAGACTTGGGAAATTAAAATCTGCCAGTCACAAACATAGATAACTATGTGTAATAACTCAAATTGATATATTTTACCAAGGCTTTACTAAGAAATTTTGACACCTGGCTCAAAAGGTTTGCTGTCATTTGCATCACAAAAACACTTTTAAGGTAAATATAATATACAAACCAGCTCTTGTTAAAGATGCAGAAATAGAAGAGGAAAATGGGCATTAAACCAGACACATGCATTGTGACACTGAAGGGTAAAAATGTAAAATTGTTTAAAATTTGTAAATTTATTCCTGAGAGATTTCCCCCAAAACTTTGATTCTGTATATGTAAAGGTTATGTTCTTTTACATAAGATTTTTTAAAAACTGTTTTGATCAATATAAACTTGATGATAGGATTTGAAGGTTGTGTTAAAGATTATTTTGAGTAACAAAGAGGAAAGCATCTCTCCAGAATATGGAATATGTAGTCAGATAATCCTTACAAACGGAAGGTCTCAATTCAAACAAGTATAAAGTGAACTTCAAGAAATGTGTATGTGCTGTTGGGAGCTGTTCTTTCATTGGAAGGACTGGGGAGTTACCCACTGAGTTATGAAGTTGTATTATGAGGCAAGGCATACACTACAAAAAAATAACATTTTGGTACAATATTCTCAGTTCTCAAATGATTCATTTGAAAAACTGGGGGTAGAATAAACATGAACATTTGGAACCAAGCTGTATGACTATAATTGTAAAACTATATACGTATGTATATATATTTTTTTATACAAAAACATCTTTAATATACATTCAATGAATATTTTCTGGTAATGAGGAATCTTAAACCTACAGAAAATGATGAGTAAAATTTTCATAGCAGTTCTTTATTTACAAATTTATATCTTCTTCGATACTTTGGAATTGAAATATAAATAGAGCACTACCTATTATTCAACATTAAGACATCATTTATAAAGATTTTTCAGTGTTATACTTTTAACTGTACAAAATATTAACTTTATATTATTTTCATACATCATGAAAATGTAAACGAAATGACATACATTTAAAATAATTGAAACAAATTTAAAGAAAAGCAAGCAATTGTAATTTTTAAAACAAACACACACATCTGCCACTATAAACAATGGGTTTAGCAGAATCCAACACACAATAACTACAGGCAAGATTTACATTTGTACGGCAAGGATACCTTCGCATTAGTGTACAATTCACAATTATTGTTGCTTCCCCCTCTCAAAGGAGACAGCATTCCCTCACATAATGAAATGTCATGAATTTGTTTCAAGAATGAACACACATTTCCCAAAGTCTTTAATTCTTTATCAGAACTCAAAGCAAGAACTTCCTTCCCAAAAATTTTAACATGTGGAGCTGCAGTTTCCTTAAATATTATACATTTATCAATCATCAATTTTGGGAAAGGAGAGAGTTCTGAAATATGAAACACAATTACAAAACTTCCATCAGGATGCTTATGAAGAGACCACATATCTGAGGGCATTTTCACGTAATGTGACCACTTCCACAGCTTTTTATACGAAACTGTTCCTTTGCCTTGAGAAGGGAATCTTGAATTTTTGTGGACTATTCTTGGCTTGAAAAAATATGCGTCAGGGATCAATAGTCTTCCTTCATTAGAATGAAAAATTGTCCCTTGATGCCTTAAGTAAAGTTTTTGTGTCCCAATTCTGTTTTCCTCACTCTCTGATTCAGGAACTCCACTTGCTTCTTCTAAAAGATCACAAATTTTTTCAAGTAACTCTTCACCATCATCAAATACTTCAGAACTTTTTTGTATTTTTTTCCCCAAATCATCTGACTTCGTTTCTGAAATTGTTTTGGAATTAGAGTTTTCTTTTTCTAGGCCTCTATTAATCCGCTTTGAATCTTTCCTTATACTACTTAACTTTTCAAGATCTTTGGTAGCTTCCTTTGGCACTGAGTGATCCGTCTTTCCCACTCCAATATCAATGCTTTTTTCTGAGGCTTTCTCCTTTATTTTATTTTCAACTGCTTTTCCATCTTTAGTTTTCAATTTTGATGTGATGCCACTCCTTTCCCTACTGCTTGAATGTCTCTTCTTTACCTCAATTTTCGATTTTTGTAGTTTCTTGGAGACAACTTCAATGGTCTTGCTCTGAGTTTTGCTTCTAAGTGTTTTCTTTTCCAAGTCCTTTTCAATATATTTTGCCCTATTATCTGAACCTGACATCCGAGCACTTCTCTTCATATGTAAAGGATTACGGTCACTTAACTTCGGTGGGTCTTTGGAAGGAATTATCTTTTTTTTCTTTATAGAATCAGACCTCAATTTTACATCTATAATTCTCTTTGTTTTCTCCTTATTTTGTTCAGAAAAAGTTGGTTCATTTGGCAATTTAGAATTTTTTCTCTCTATAAGTACCTTTTTAGCTCGAATTTGGGAATTTTCATCTTTAATGGCTTTCCTTTTTCGTGAAACTTCAGATCCTGATGCACTTTCTACCACATCTTCTGACTCTTCTTTCTTGTCCTTCCTCTCGTTATTTTTTTCACTTTGTTTGTCACCTCTTCCATTCCTTAAGCTGTGATCTAATGAAGATTTATTAATAAGAGTATTTACTTCAGAGGCTTTGGCAGAATCAGCATTGAGTTCTTGTCCTTTGACTGACAATGGCACTGCTGTTTGTGGCTTTTTCTCATTATCAGTCTTAACTTTCTGTTTTACCATACCCTCCTTCTTTTTTCTTATTCCTCTGCTTACGATGATAGAATTTGAAGTAGCTGCATTTGGAGGTGTTCTTGTGTCCATTTTCAATACAGATTTCTGTTTTGTTTTATTATCAGGTTTAGATATCTGCTTTTTTCCTGATTTTATACCCTCTCTTCCTTTCTCAATAACAGCACCCTTTTCACTGTGAATTTTAACACTTTCAATGTCAGATTTGGAAGATGATTTTTCAGCATCTTTTTTGACGGGAATTGAAAATGCTTGAATTTTTTTTTCAAGATCATCGTCATCTGTACATACTACATTTGATTCAGCACTTCCCATTGATACACTTTCACTGCTTGGATCTTCACTCTCTTCTAAAGCATCAGTATGCACCTTACTATTTTCACTTCCATCTTCAGAAACTGGCATCTGAACAGAAAATCATGGCAATTAATAATTTTGATTTATTTTTTCACATTATATTATTGTCAACACTTCACAAATAATGTTAAAAATTATTAAATTGGTACATATGGACTTTAATATAGGTACTGATATTTGGCACTTAAAACCACAATACAAAAGTGCAGAAGTTACCATAAAAGTTACATTTCAAGTGTGCATTCACTTGTTTTGAAAAGTATTTATTTTCATTTTGTAGAAATTAATTTATGTATGTTCTGTACCACTATAGAATTAATAGAATCAAGTATTTCTTTAAGAAAACAGAAGATAAACTTTAGTTCATTTCATTTGACACTTTTTTTCAAAAAGGCGTTTTCTATTTGTTTACATTCTCAGGTTTTAAAGAATTACAGTATATTCCAATCATCTTAAAGCGCTCACTAGTGATATAAACATTAAATAACTGCGGAACTAGGGTAAATTTCTTAACAATAAAATTTCTAGTTGTAAAGCCAGCACATTACCTGAGTTAACATATCCAGTTTCTGTAAAGACACGAAAGCTTTCTTCAACTTCGGCAGTTCAATACGATTCATATCGTTCGTAGAATTACTTAGTTCCATTAGTATTAAAATATTATTTCGTTTGATCACACGATGTTTATATGGTAATAAAATTTCAAAAACCCTTTAAACATAAACAATCATTATCCCGCGCATTGCGAGAATCCTTCCACTCTTCTCTACAGTGTGAAAAATTGCGCAGCTAGCTTTTCAATGAGGAACCAACATAATAAAATCGTAACATTCCGAAGGGAATTAAATGGAATGAGCTTTAGGAGCGAATATCATCTTTTACACCTCAAAAATATTAAAATTACCAGATATAATGAAGTATTCTTTGTAAGTGAAAAAAAATTTGTACACGGTAATAAACAAAAACTCATGTATTGTCTGTAAGTTTATTAGCCTGACAGCGTTCACGAATCGCAAGCTCGAGATTGTTTTTGTCTTCTCTCGAGTATTAATGATCACAGAATATTTAGAATAAAGTTGATACCAGAGAGTATTTTACTATGTTTGGGTATCTGAAAATATTTACATCGTGAGACGTACTACCACGTAGTGGCACGTACTACGTAGCGAATAGTGTATTCCATTGAGTTGTTATGATGTGTATTTAACCGATATGAATCCTATGTCCGCAAGTGTCTCTATGCATGCCCATTGACACCCATTGATGTATGGACTTGTGAAATGATTGACAATGATCTCCAAACATTGATTTGCCCGTCAGTTGTGTAAGCTGTGTTTGAGTATAATCGTGTTGGGCGCCTGGGGCCCAATTTCGACAGGGAACATGAACGAAGTGGAAAAACTCGAACATCTTTCTCTTGTGTCCAAAATATGTACGGAATTGGAGAATCACTTGGGACTAAACGACAAGGATTTAGGTAAGGTTATGCCATTTATGACAATCCGAGAGTCAAATTATACAAATGTTAGACATAAAAGTAAGAAGTAAACTAATTTCTTCCCCTCGATGATATATTGCGTTTCGTATTTACAGCTGAATTTATCATTGATTTGGCCGAGAAAAATACAACATTCGACAGCTTTAAAAAGGTACTTCTTGACAATGGAGCTGAATTCTCTGTAAGTTTTCTAATATTTCATAGCTTTATAATATTGAGGAAATGTTCATTATTTTAATTTCAATGAGTATTGTATGAAAGTTTTCTACAGTCTTTAACCAACAGGCAATATATCTATTGCAGGATTCTTTTATTACAAACTTGCTTAGAATCATACAGCATATGAAACCCAAAAATGGTCAGAGAGACACAAGTGTTCCAAAAACGAAAAAAGATGTTTTATCAGAAAAATTTCCTGGTCTTGCTATTCCTAATGACCCCAAATTTTATGGTGGAAATGAAAATAAAGAAAAGAAAAAGAAGAAGAAAAAAGAAGATGGTTTGGGTGATGCTGTTGTTGATAATGCCATGGCAGAGTTGGAAGCACTTGCACCATCTCAGCTTGGGTAAGTTTTTGATGCATGACAAGTTGGAAATTTATATTAATGGGTTGAAGAACATTGAGATTATGTTTTGAACTTGTTGGACAATGTATTAAATTCAAATTTGTAATGTGTAAGTGTAGTAGTAGTAGTTGTTACTTTGACATTACATCGAAAATCCTTTGACTCTGTTCCCCATTCTCAAAGTGTCTGGCTTTCTTGTTATTAATAGAATAATTTAGTTTTAACATAAACTAATTAGACAATACATTAGATTTACAATTTTTTTTTAAATGCCAGAATCTGAGGATTTGATGATTAATAAATTTCAATAATCAATTTGCATAAATCTCAGAAACATTTAAAAGAAATCATTTGCATGTAACTGGCTTGTGTGAGATTTTATTCAATTTCACAATGTCATCCTTACTGCTTCCGCAAATTTTCTCATGTTCATAATTCTTTCCATGTAACAAGCACTGTACTGGAATTTTCTAGAGTTAAAGTCCCCTGCTGATATCAATTGATCATTTTTGTAGACTCATTATTTCATTCTGCAGCTCTTCATAAAATATTTCTGATTCCTTCGATTTTCCCATACCAGGGGCATAGACACTTATTACAGTTAAGTATTCTTTTTCACTCTATAGCCTCTACCATCCCTTTGCTCATAAAACTATTCTGAGTTTTCATTTCCAGTTTGGATTAACTCTAATAAGTACTCCAGCCCATGCTGTTTCATATTCATCTACTCCACAACAGGACAAGATACTTTGGCCAGTATCCTTTGCACTCATTACCGGCCAAGGTATCATTTTTAGGAATAATAATAATAATAATAATAATAATAATAATAATAATAATAATAACAACAATAATAACAAGAACAATAATAATAATAACAATAACAATAATAATAATAAGTTATTTTAAAAAAATCGTGTAATTTTTTCTTACATTAATTTATTTGTTTCTGAATCGAAATATCAACATCACAAGTGTCTTAAAATAGAGAACCCTACATAAAACAGAAATCTTACGAAATTGGAATTTTATTTGTCCTGATCGATTCCGGGTTAAACAGATTTTACTGTACCATTTTTCTTTGTGCTTGACACTTGGACTTTGGTAGAGACAGCATTTTAGCCCTCTACTACTCTTGCTATATGTATGCTGCATGATCTTTCATGGGCTGTCTGAAGTGTATACTGTTCCTATACTTTTGATATTTTTCATTCCCATATCTATATACTGTCTGGATACATTTAATGGTGTGATGTGTGTATATTTAATGTCCAAATGTGTGGCAGAAGTGCTCAGCTGATACAATGCTCTATCTCCATCATTTATTCGTTTTGAATTGGTGACAAGTGTAGATTATGTCGCTAGGAAATTTGCTGCTATTGTGTGTCAACAGGAAACCATTGTCCGAGACACCATGTGACTCTCTTTGATGACATATAGACATTAAAAATACTAAAACTGTTTTACATACATATTTTTTTGGAATACTGGTAAATTTTCAAGAGTTTGTGTTAAAGGTTTTACCTAGCTTTAGGTTTATAAATGTTAAGTTGTTGAGCGTAAGTTGTCAGAATTGTTTTCATTTACTGGTGACATCAATTTGAAATTTCTTCATTGTTTAAATATTTATGTAAATTTTATATGAATTGTAAATATTTAATTTCAGGAATGTCAAAGTCAAATCTGAACCAGAAAGTTCTGATGATGATGACGAGACAACTATTAAAAAGGAAGAAGTCAGTAAAAGTGAAGGTGTCAAAGAAAAAGGGCATTGGGACAATCAAGCTCATAGTAAACAAGAGAAGAGCAGACACAGAAAAGAAAGAAGTAGAAGTAGAGAAAAAAGAGTGAATAGAGATAGAAGTAGGAGCCGTGGTAGGGGGGATCGAAGCAGAAGTAGAGACCGTGGTGATTACAGCAAAAGTAGGGATTATAGAGATCGTAGAGCAAGAAGTAGAAGTAGAGGTCGCCATGGTCGCAGTAGGAGTAGAGATAGAAGAGATAGAAGTAGAAGTAGGGACAGAAGGAAGGAACGATCCCACAGAGACAGGAGTAGGGAGAGGAGAGGAGGAAGTCGTGATCGAAAGAGGGGTCGAGAGAAAAGTGAAAGCCCTGATAGTTCACTGAAGCATCCCAGAGGAAGCAGTCGTGATCGAGACCGGAGAGGAGAAATAGAGGCTACAGCTACAGAACCAGAAATTGGCAAGGTAATGACCAATGAAATTACTTTCTATTAAATTCTAACATTTTTAAAAATAGTATGAAATGTATGGTGTATTATTTATTATTGTTATCTCTTTTATTTCAGATCTATTCTGGAAAAGTAGCAAATATTGTACCATTTGGGTGTTTTGTTCAATTAGAAGGATTGCGTCGTCGCTGGGAAGGCTTGGTACACATATCTCAATTGAGAAGAGAAGGAAGAGTGACAAATGTATCAGATGTTGTTACACGAGGTCAGAAAGTGAAGGTAAATTCATTAACTTCATTTTAATAATATTTTGTAGAATATAACTTGTATTTGACTATATTAACAAAGTGTGACAACTTGAGATTTGTTATTATCATTCAAATATTTAAAACAAATATTTATTTAAAGCAATGTTATATTGATCAGAAATTAACAATAGTTTTATTGTTTTAAAATTAAATATTCCTTTAATCCTCAGACAAAATTTTACGAGTTTTCATTCAATAATAGATCAAGACATCAAAGTTTTTAATAATATCAAATTTTCAATCAATCTGTTTATCAGGTAGTTCCAGAAATAAATTTATTTATTTGTATAGTTTTTAATTAGTTGTGTGTTTGATGCTGTAATATTGTGAGATAGAATAAAATCTAATTTAAAACGATTTCAATTCACGGATGTAATTAGTCTAAGAGTTCAACCCTTGTATTATTTTTTGAAAAATTTTCAAAAGTATTGAGAGTTCAAAAGAAAATGTCCCTAATGGTCATTTTAGAAGGTGTTTTAAATTTGAATGAACTATTTATTTTATAAAAATTCAGCCACGAACCCATATTCATCTGTAATCATATTGTGAACAATATTTTGGATTTTCATCGAATGGGCCTACATACTTTAACAGCAGTTACTTAGTTTTTTTGTAATGAAGTGTTTAAAGATGCAATAAAAAATTGAGGTGTCCATTCATGGGGAAGAAGTACATCATAAAGTTCTACTTCCATTTCTCTGTCTTGCAGATAAAGGTGCTTTCCTTTACGGGACAGAAAGTGTCTTTATCAATGAAGGATGTGGATCAAGAGACAGGAGAAGATCTCAATCCCTCTAGCAATAATTTACTTCTTGGCAAAGACAGGTATGTAGGTAGAAATGTGCAAATAGGAAACTAAACATTCACTGACAATTTTTGCTAATGTTTTGAAGAACATCATCTCATTGAGAGCTCCTAATGCAGTGTTTCTATATTATTTGTAATATTTTGTCTTAGAGATGAGGAACAAGCCCATCGTAACCCTGATAGACCTACTTCTTTATTGGATCTACAAGGCTCTCTTGCTGAGGAAGATGAAACACACAGTAGGAAGCGTGTTCATCGAATATCATCTCCAGAAAAGTGGGAAATTAAGCAGGTAAAATACTTGCATCATAGTCTCTAAGGGTCATTGCTTCTACAAATATAAATATAAATATATATATTCTTTTTCTTTCTTTCTTTTTTCTTACTTTCTTTTTTCTTTCTTTCTTTCTTTTTCTTTCTTCTTCTCCTTCTCCTCCTTCTTCTCCTTCTTCTCCTTCTCCTCCTCCTTCTTCTCCTCCTTCTTCTTCTTCTTCTACTTCTCCTACTTCTCCTTCTTCTTCTTCTTCTCCTCCTTCTCATTCTTATTCTTCTTAATCTTATTTTTTATTCTTCTTATTCTTATTTCTTATTCTCCTCCTCCTTCTTCTTCTCCTTCTCCTCCTTCTTGTCCTTCTTCTTCTCCTCCTCAAACTATGTTCATTTCAAACTTGTGTTCATTTTGAAATTGGGGTACCTCTGTTCTTTTGTTTTCTTTCTGCGATGAAGGATGGCTCACTGTCCCTCTTTTTCTTTTGTTAAATGAATTACAGTAAGTAAATTAGATCTCAATTTTGTTAAGCCAGAGTTCATTGTATTTAGTATTCTATTTGACCATTGCGTTATCCTTGTACCATTAGAGTGTATTGAATTCATAAGACCTCATTTATGATACATGAGATTCATTGTTGCTGGAATTTATGGGCATAGGTATAATGATTTGTTACATCATAAGTGAGAACATTATTTCATACTCCAAGTTAATTGAACAGCTAATTAGTTAAAAATTTTAAAACTTCTCAGGAGGCCTCTTTAAAATTGGGGGATTGTCTTATAGTCAGAGTTGACGTATATTTGGGTATATACAGTGTTTGTATGTTCAAGTTGAGAAGGATATAGCACGTTTTAGCTTGTGGTTGTAAACTTGATTTTGTACGCTCATTAATTTCTAGTCTCTTTTTCTTTTTATTGTACTTTTCACGCAACTTTGTTCTATTTATAATTTCTTCTGGTTCTTCTTGTTTTTTCCTTGTTATCCATCTTTTATAGTTCTGCAGTCTGCTTCAGACCATGTACACCTCTTGATGCTTGTTAGAGATTTCGGAGATAAGTGGGAGGAGCCATACGAAGGAAGGTGATCAAATCACTTCTTGGCCGTAAGGAATGGAATAATGAAGAATGAATCGCATGTGTTCAGTGGTCCATATTCTAGGATGCTGCTCTGACATTTGCCTGAAGCAGGGAAATCCTAGAAAACCATTGATCAGAGAAGTTGGATCTATCTGTGATTTGGCCATTGCCTTAGTGCTTACTTGTTATTTGAGTTGGTTTCTTGTTTTCTTATTTGTCACATTTCTTCTCTTTTCAATGTTTTGTTCCCGTTTATCAACTTGTGAATGTGTGTATTTTCCAAAAATTAAAATTTGCTATCTTTTATTGAAAAAATGTATTTTTTTCTGATAACTCTTTTTCTTTTTTTTACAGATGTTGGCTGCTAATTGCATAGATAAATCTGAACTGCCTGATTTTGACGATGAAACCGGTCTCCTTCCAAAGGAGGAAGATGAAGAAGAGGATATTGAAATAGAAATGGTGGAGGATGAACCTCCATTTCTGCAAGGTCATGGTCGAATGCTTCATGATCTGAGCCCTGTCCGGATTGTTAAAAATCCTGATGGATCATTGGCACAGGTATGTACATTTCTTTCATCTTTCATCAGAATTGAAGGAAATAATTCTGCTTTCTAAGAACTTTTTTCTAGATATTGCTTGAGAAATTCATAGCTGCATCGTTCTTCTTTTCTTATCAACTTCTAGAACAATTTGTAGTTAGAGTTTGTTAGTCATGTGAGTTATTGGCATTCAGACATTCTGAAGTAAATGGGTAAGTCTTAAACTGGGACTATCAAGTAGCAGTGATTTGCATTAATTTCACAAATGTTCGCAAACTTGTGTTTGGTCTATGGTACTCCGTACTATTTTTGTCAACCTGTGAACAGGAGAGTATTTGCATGATAGCAATTAATTTGTTATTAAAATTCAAGAAAAGTGCTCTTTAAAGCTGCTATTTAAATGTTATTTATTTGTATTGTAGTCTTGTGCCGGAAAACGGGTAATTTTCCAAAAAAAGACTCATATTGATGGACCCTAGTAATGGAAAAGTGGGTACATCATGTTCCTGTATATAGTAAATTACTTTCTCTAACACATGGTGTAGCCAGAATCTGTCTTTTGTGGGTCCTTGATACTCAAAAATCGATTGACGGCAAACCATGATTGTCTGTCGATGGTCATTGCTTGCGCCAAAACTGTTCAGCCATTTTTGAAAATTGATATTCCCCGATTGATCTGAATGAACTCAAAGCTTTGCTAGTTTGTTACGTGTATGTAGCACATATGTTTTAATTTACTATATATTTGGACAGGATTTATCCACTTCTTCTATAACAGTATGAGTTTTTTGTTGAAAAATTGGTTTTCTCTTCTTTTTTCTCCCTTTGCATTTTTACATAACCAATACGTTTATTTCTCCATATAATACTCACATATATGAACAAGTAAAAAATAGGGGAAAAAAGACTTAAAATGGGAAGCTCTCTTCATATCAAGTTGTAAAATATAGGCTTTATGATGGGGCCAACAGAAAGTTATGTAAAAGACAAGTGTAAAATACAGGATCCTAAAAACAGGGTTTTTCTGTAATTGTTGTTTTGCATTGCAAAATCCAGAGCCAGTATTCACTTGCTGGTCTTGGTCTGCCCCTAACTTGAGTACCAAGAAAAATAAACTTTCTAACCTGATACAAAGTGAGGCATTTCTGATTCATAATGGATTAAAGTTTTGCTTTAGATTCTGGCTACAATCTTCTGTTCTCTTTTCTAGGCAGCCATGATGCAGAGTGCCTTGGCAAAAGAAAGAAGAGAAGTGAAAATGCTACAACGAGAGCAAGAAATGGACTCCATTCCTACTGGTCTTAACAAAAATTGGATAGATCCTTTACCAGATGGTGAGTTGCCTAGTTGTGAGAGTTCAAGTTCATATTACAAAGCATTTTATAACATCTATTTGTATTTTGAGATCTGGTTTAGAAATTACTTGTACATGTTAAAACCATTACAGGAGAAAGGAAACAAAATGAAAGCAATTTAGAAAAATTCAAATCCAAACTTAAACATACAGAAGTATTGTTGGACCATATCTTTAAAATGTGACTTAATTACTCTCCGGCCATTTTAGGAAAACATTGAAGTGTTTGCAGACATTTGGAAACTGAAAAGTTCATTGTTATTTTTAAACTCTGCCTATTCAGATTACCATCAGTTGGTTCGCAGAGTGGGTCCCCAGTAGCTTCTTCGTTGCATTTAGCATTTCTTGATATTTAACAATTGATACACAGTTGATTTCCTACTAAAGGGTCTGTGTTGTTTGATGTTGACAAACATTGATACACCTATATTTCTATAAACATATTCAACTGCTAGTTGTAGGTTGTTATGATGGAAAGGCAGTGTTAATCGTTTTCTTTAAACATATCGTATTTACCCAAATAAGTTTTTTCCCCTAACTATCTCATTTGGAAAATGTGGGGATATGATATTTACACATTAAGCGTTGTCTGTTAGGAATTTTATTTTTACTTTACTTTTGCATTCCAAGAAGAAACTATTGCTGATGAAACAATAAGCTGCAAAGACAATAAATTTCATGTGTATTTGTAATACCTAAGTATATTCACATATCTGCAAATTTCGCAACCACTTCAGAACAATAGCTGGTCTGGTAAAGAGAGAATCTCAAACTAATGATCTTGTATTATTATTATTATTATTATTAACTTGATTGGCCACATTGGACCACTTGAGTCGTTCCACTTCACTTTTACTGTTCATGGTCGACTGTCGAAAGTTTTCACCTTGGTGAGGATAAATCCTCGAGTTACAATTCTGAATGTTATTCAGAAAGGTGATAATGAGAGATGGAGGATGATGGATGATAGGGGGTGAAAGGACGAACACAATACAACCATGCCCGAGGCGGGACTCGAACCCGCGATCTTTCAGTACGAGATACTGCCTTAGCGATCTCGGTCACCGGATCGGCAATGACCTTGTATTATTATACTATGGCTTTGTTTTATCATCATTGTAGTAAGTGAAAATGTATAAAAAATCATTGCCGAGATTTTGCTCTACAGTGCACTGATTAATGAGCTCTTGTGGACTCTTAGTTCTATTCCCAGTGAGAACAGATCTTGGTTTTTCGAGAAATGGAAAATGAATAAAGTCACTTTGATGGAAGTACTTGTTCTATATACAAACACAGAAGCACAGAATAATACAAAATTATTTTCTTAGCAAAAACTTCTCAAACTTGCAAGCTTGCCACTCTTGACCCATTATGGAGGAATGGAGAGGTACGAGTTAGCAGGTCACAACTTGATCACACAGGCATTTATATATAGTACGGAGTTGCTGTACAGTTGTCACTGTTTCTCTGCTGCCTCCATGCCTCTCTATTTGACCATAGATCATCTTGCATTTCTCTTGCCGTCATACCCTCTTGCACTCCCTGCTGCCATGCAAGTCTGGGCCTTCCTCTGGTCTGTCTTTCTGTTGGCACCCATTACAGGACTTATTTTTGTCTGTCATTTGCATGACATGACCATACCACATGTTTTTTCCTCTATTTCGTCAAGGATATCTTTCTATCCATTTTCTTTCTTATGTCGTCGTTCCTGATTTTGTCATGTCTGCTATAACAGCAACTTCTTCGCCAGAAGTCCATTCCAAGGGCCAGCAGCTTCCCTCTTGTTCTTTTATCAACCTCCCAAACTTCTGAACCATACGTTGTGACACTCTAGTGTAGAGTAAAGACGTCTTTTAGTAATGTTAGTGGTAGTTTTGTTCCATAAGTTAAAGTTTATACTTTGTTTCTTCCCAAGCAAATTTGTCTCTCCATGTCTTCTTGGCTATTTCCGTTTTTGTTAAAAGGTTCACCCAAATATTTATATTTGTGTACTCCTTTCATTTTTCCTCCATTTTCCAGAAGATTTTCCATCTCGTTGTTACCAACTGCCAGGTATTCAGATTTGTCCTTGTTAATTTTAAGTCCTGCTTTTAAAGAGTGTTCATTAAGTTTACGCATCATGAAACTCAAATCGTCTGCATCTTCTGCAATTACTACCTAGTCATCGGCAAAGTATAATGTATATAATTTATCCTCTCCAATCGTCATTCCCATTATTCTGCATGGTTTCTCCCACTGCTGTAAAATTTGATGCAGATATATTTTCAACAGTGTTAAGGAGAGACAACAACCCTGACAAAGACCTTTACTGACTGGGAATGGATTCGAGAGCCTGCTGGAGATCTTAATCTTGCTTAAAGTTGGTGTTCTTATATAGATTCTGTGTAGCTCCAATTACGTTTTCACTGATTTTAAGTCCATCCATTTCTTTCTGTTCTCCCTGTTGTATCATGCACAAGTCATAATTGGATGCTTCTAGGGTTCTTCCCATGTAAGGCCTGTCTACTACTCTCTACAGAAATTAGGAAGGAAAATGATGAAAGGCTCCTTAGCCCTCAAAACCTAATAGTGTTCGGGTCAGAAATAAACAAGAATTGACCAAGAGAGGCCAATAGAATAGATGAAAGCATTGTGGCACAAGAAAGATTAAAGATGGTAGATGAAGAAATCATAACAAGATGAACACCTTGTTATGGGGAAAGGACAAAAAAGATAGGAATGAATCGGCTTAGCCCTCCATCTCACTGAAGCACTCAAGCTTCCCTGCTCGCACAGATAGTGCTACTTCAAGACAGTGTCCCCAGAGGAGGACTTAACTCTGCAAATTTCAAGTGCATCTGAGAAAGAATTCTTAGAGAATCAGAGGTCATAAACAAAAGTATGACAGGAAGAAAATCCAGAGATACAGGAAGGAATGTTCTTAGGTAGCATCATATGAAAGTCAAACAAATTCAATGCCCAAAATTTTGATATACAATAATACAATTTTTTTTAAAAACATATTTGAGTAAATAAGTAATTCTTATTGATTTTTTCATTCATTTCTAAAACAATTTGTTTTTTTCTATGTTTTAATACAGCTGACGGAAGAGCTTTGGCAGCCAATATGAGAGGTATTGGTCTTGCCAATCAAGATCTTCCTGAATGGAAGAAACATGTTATTGGTGGGAAGAAGACTTCTTTTGGTCGTAAAACAGATATGACCCTCTTGGAACAGCGACAATCCCTTCCTATATACAAGTTGAAGGACGAATTGACAAAGGTATGTGTAAAAGTTATGCCATCACGGGTAAATCATTTTGATATTTTTAGGAGAAATGAAATACATTCATGTTTTTCAGGCTGTCACAAATAACCAAATTTTGATTGTCATTGGTGAGACTGGTTCCGGCAAAACAACCCAGATTACACAATACCTTGCTGAAGCTGGTTTTACTAGTCGAGGTAAAATTGGTTGCACTCAACCTCGGCGAGTGGCAGCGATGTCTGTTGCCAAACGTGTTGCTGAAGAATTTGGGTGTCGTTTGGGACAAGAAGTTGGATATACTATACGTTTTGAAGACTGCACCAGTCCTGAGACAGTTATAAAGTAAGTAACTAAGTTTATGTCCTTGTTGTGTTTTTTGTTTTTGTTTGTTTGTAGAAATTGTATTAATTCACACATTCAGTAGTTTTGAAAGTGATGGTGGTCTACAGGTCTCCCCCCTCAGTTGAGCCAAATCTCAAAATCCAATTAGCACTTTCTACACTGCTAAAATATGAACATGACCTCTTGCTTTGGCAATATTTTAAATCAGCCTGAAATGTTTAAGACAGGTGAATAGTGTGTCTTATGTGTATACCATAAGTTGAATACCTAATTTTAGAGAATATAGAGCATTTACAAATGTGAATTTATTTGCTTTAACATGTCAACATCTCACCGCTCAGACCCTGTATTCAGAAAGTGAGTGACATGTTGCCATGGATCATTGGATGTTTCTCATTGAGAACATTAAATGTAAATGTACACGTTCTCTCTTTAGGCTTCAGGCTTTACACAAAAACTTATCATTTTGTCGTCATCAGGGTAAGACGGAAGATATGCTGTACAAGTCTGATTTCAAGCTCTTTAGAGCAATTAAGATGGATTTAACAAATAGTTTCTTTATTGGGAGACCACAATATATAAATACAATTGTCTATGTCCAATTGGTGGTCAATTTAATGATAAAAATGGACGCTTCAGTAACGTCTCAATTAATTTTCTCAACTCAACTCCGTCACCAGAAATCTCACCTCAATAAAATATTCTTCATGTCTTTTAATTTCTCCCTTTTTTAGGTACATGACAGATGGTATGTTGCTTAGAGAATGCTTAGTTGACTTGGACCTGAAGTACTATTCTGTCATTATGTTGGATGAAGCTCATGAAAGGACAATTCATACTGATGTACTTTTTGGTGAGTAAACATTTGTAATGTTATGAATTATTTATGAATCATGTGTATTAGAAATATTTTAATAAACTGATTGTTAATGGGTTTGTTCTTGCAGGACTGTTGAAGCAAGCTGTGAAAAAACGCCCTGAATTGAAATTAATTGTTACATCGGCAACTTTAGATGCTGTGAAATTCTCACAGTATTTTTTTGAAGCTCCAATTTTTACCATTCCTGGTCGTACATTTCCTGTTGAAGTGTTGTATACAAAAGAGCCAGAAACAGATTACCTGGATGCCTCTCTTATTACTGTTATGCAGATACATTTAAGAGAACCTCCTGGAGATATTCTGTTATTTTTGACTGGCCAAGAAGAAATTGATACTGCTTGTGAAATACTTTATGAACGAATGAAGTCCTTGGGACCTGATGTGCCAGAATTGATTATCTTACCTGTATATTCTGCTCTTCCTAGTGAAATGCAGACAAGGATTTTTGAACCAGCTCCTCCAGGATCACGGAAGGTAAGCATGTTTTCTATTCTTTTTTGCCAGCAAGCATTGCAATGGAATATTCTCCATTATTAAGTTTGTTGTTATAACAACAGTACAGAGTTACAATACTGTTCAGTATTCACATTTTATTTCTTTTACTTGTCACTTATTTATTAAAAGGAGGAAATTTGTTTTTTATTTAGTAGAAGGAGAAAGCACATGTTCTCCTCTACCTTTCGTGAAGGAATGCAATTTGCAGAAAGTTCTTACATTCATTATGAAAAATTGTTGCAGGTTGTAATTGCCACAAATATTGCTGAAACGTCTCTTACAATAGATGGGATTTATTATGTAGTAGACCCAGGATTTGTTAAACAAAAAGTGTACAATTCAAAGACTGGAATGGATTCTCTTGTAGTTACTCCAATTTCGCAGGTAAAGATACAATTGCAGTTTTCAAAATTTGTTATTATTTAATTCTTGAATTATGAAATGAATAAAAAAATAATAATAATAATATTACAGGCTCAAGCAAAACAACGTGCAGGTCGAGCAGGCAGAACAGGACCTGGTAAATGTTATCGTCTGTACACAGAAAGAGCCTACAGAGATGAAATGCTTCCTACTCCTGTCCCAGAAATACAGCGAACTAATTTAGCCACCACAGTGCTCCAGTTGAAAACAATGGGTATCAATGATTTGTTGCATTTTGATTTCATGGATGCTCCCCCTGTGGAGTCTTTAATTATGGCATTGGAGCAGCTGCATTCACTTAGTGCCCTTGATAATGAAGGGCTACTGACACGACTGGGAAGAAGGGTATGCACCATTGAAAAGTTTTTTGCCAAAAATTGATTTGCCTGGAAATATGAATTTCTAAAATTGAATCAGTTTGTCTGATTGGTTTGTTTTTTTCCCCAATTACAGATGGCAGAATTTCCTCTAGAGCCCAATCTTTCAAAAATGCTGATAATGTCTGTGCATCTTAATTGTTCTGATGAAGTACTTACCATAGTATCAATGCTATCTGTACAGAATGTCTTTTACCGGTAAGTTGTGATTTCTTTTATATTATTTCACAGTAATTCTTAAGAGGACATCACTACTTACTTATTTGTTTTAAAATTTGTTATTTAATTAAATGTTTTAATTAATTATTTTTTCCCTCCCCAGACCGAAAGATAAACAAGCTCTTGCTGATCAGAAAAAGGCAAAATTTAATCAGCCAGAGGGAGATCATTTAACATTACTATCAGTATATAATTCATGGAAAAACAACAAGTTTTCCAATGCATGGTGCTACGAAAATTTTGTGCAGATTCGTACATTGAAAAGAGCCCAAGATGTTAGGAAACAATTATTGGGTATTATGGATAGGTAAGCTGATGTTGTAATACAGAGACTAATGATAGATGATTTACTTAAGATACAAGTCAACAGAAACTTATTTCAAAATTTGAGAAGTGTTCAAATAGAAAACATCTGAGGAATGTTTTGCTAATGGATCAGTGATTTCTCTTTACTTTCTTAAGTAATCCTAAATAAAGGAAATTATGCGAAGAGAAAGAGAATCAAATTTTATTCATGGTGGTATTCTTAATTTCAGGCACAAATTGGATGTAGTGTCTGCGGGTAAAAATACTGTCCGGATTCAGAAGACTGTATGTTCAGGTTTTTTCCGAAATGCTGCAAAGAAAGATCCTCAAGAAGGCTACAGAACACTAGTGGATAGCCAAGTTGTTTACATTCATCCATCTAGTGCCTTGTTCAATCGCCAACCAGAGTGGTGAGTATATTGTAGACATCAATTTCAAATTAACATTGACGGCTGACATTTTCTTTTAATGTGCTAGATTTGTTCCACGAAGCACTTGTGAATGGAAATAGTCATTAAGTACCCAAATGACCTCTTTCGATGGTATCCAAAAACATTGGCAGTTGGGCAGTTTTGTTTGTCTGATATTGGCCAATCAAAATTGCTGTTATTGTGACCGGCACCAAAGTTTCTAAGAACCTAAGTAAAACAGACTTACCGCTAATGTGCCAATGCCTTTACTTTTGGAAATGTCTATGTTTTTTAAAATTAAAACTCTTGGGTTTTTTTCTTTCAGAATAGTGAGCACTGATAATTGTGGCACAGTTAATTGAGGTTCTGCTGTATAATTCTTCAAAATATTATTCACATAATTCTACTAGACATGTTGATACATGAGTGGTATTGGTTAAGCTGTGTGCAACTTCCTATGCAAAAAATCATGCTATTGGATGGGTCGGAGTTCAAGGTGTACAAACAACCAATAGATGTTACAATTTCGTATCTGAATTGTAGAGTTCAATTTCCAGTTTTAACAACCAAAAATACTAACGTTAAAAAAAAAAAATTTTAATCCAATGAAAAATTTACTGGGACATTACAAAATATATGCAGTTACTGTGTATAATTATGTCATGTTTCTCTCATCTAATGAATATTCAGCTCTTTCATATGTATGCTAATTTTGTAGTAATTTTGTTCCTGTAATGGATATACTGCAATACGTGTTCTGAAGAATAAATGTACTTCATTAACCTGAAAATTCAATATAATAAATTACTCAAGATACCACAGTTTCACTATACTGGTATTTTATTGTGTTGACTTTCAGTAGCGAAGCTATTCATCCTCGATCAAATCTTCTCCTTCAATTCAAGTCTTACATCTGACAGGGACTCCAGGTTTGTTTGTTTGTGGTCTTCATAAGTCTCTTCTACCTCAAGGGTTATATTGGAAAATTGTGGTGAACACCTGTTATCCATTCTTTGTGAATGTTGTAGCCACTTACTATTTCGATATTCCAACTTTCTTTAATTGAATCATTCTGGGTAGCTTTTACATTTGTTATCCTTGACGTCAGACCCTAAGCTTAAATGATGGAACTTATTTTTATGAAAGTTCAGCATTCAAACTTCAAGAATGATTTGATCTGTGAGATTAGAAATTTTAGAATCAACAATGAGTTCCTATTGTGAAATGAAATGTTGGCCCAATTTTATATTTTAAAAGATTTTTCATCATGTTCATTGTACTTATGTTTATCCTAACCAACAATATAAAACCCTGAAAGTGTTTTACTGCTGAAGAAAGAATTAATTCCCAATCCTGTGACAAACAGATTTAAGACAAAAACAATGGAACACGTTACAGTACAATTCACTGTATCATCATGCATAACTTGGAAAAGATTCATATTAGACTTTCAATCACTGTTTTTATGGCCCTAAAGAGACACAAGTAAAACTTTCTTGTGCTGTAACAAAAAAAAACCTTTTTAATGATATTTTACATTTTTGGAAGGTATTCCTCTTCATTTTATTGGCTGTCAGAAAAGTTCATGGATATCAAAATGATTTTCACTTTCAAAACAATGATTTTAAAAGTTCAGAATGTTCACATGGGTCCAGGTGACAGATGACAAAAGTCATGGAATACCTCCTCATATGACAGATCTTTGCCTGATGAAGTGCATCTTGACATGATGTGAATCAACAAATTGTGGAATGTCCCCTGCAGAAATATTGAGCCATGCTGCTTCTATAGCTGTCCATAATAGCAAAAGTGTTGGCTGTGAAGGATTTTGACAAAGAACTGACTTCTTGATTATGTCCCATAAATGATTGATGGGATTCACGATTACTTATTTATTATTATACGGACAATTAAATCCATTATTTACAAAAAGAGTACAATAAAAAAAATTGCATATAGCAACATAATTATAAAAATAGAAACATTTATAAAGAAAAAATTCCATAATAACATATGAAATATATCGGGTATAACAGTAGGTCTACCACGCCTACTCATTCAAATTTCAAGATTTTGTTGCTCGCTAGTGATAAAAAAGCAGATTTATCCATATTACATATATCAATATTAAATCTGCAACATTGATTTGTAACAATATTTGCTGTGTAAGATTGACAGTAAAATCTGGTTTTAGAATTAATGTTAGGTGTTTTGTACACTATCTTGTTTTGCAAGATTTTGCAGTCGACCTCACCCTATAACAGTTTTCTCAAAAACAAGTCATTCAAGTCTCTCTGAGACCTTAGTGAAGGAATGGACAATTGCTGAACCAAGTCAATATATTCATGTTTTATATGCGTATCATCCTATTCCAAACCATAGGCTGACATTCTGAAAACTTTGTGTTGGACTGTTTCAATTTGTGATTTATATTTAAAAAAAAAAAAAACAGAAACCAAATCACAGAAGAGTACATCAATATTGGCTTGACCAGCATAAAATAGTGGTCTCAAGACCACTACTGAGAGTAATTCGTGGCAGAATCTGTTAATGAATCCCCAGACTTGGATTGATTTGACTATTGTGCGATGAAAATGATTCGTGAAAGTCATCCTGGAATCAGAAATCAGGCTCAGATCTCCAGTGGAGTGAGATTCATCATATAATCAGAGATTTCATTAGATCTAGATCTTGAAAACGATTGTTCTTCATGCACTACGCATATAAGGCATTTAGAGTGTTTTGCATAAACACTCTTGTCTTCATCAGATTGAATTTTTAAAAATAAATTTAAGGTCATCAGCAAAAAGCAGATACTCTATGTCCAATATACTGTTGCATATGTCGTTAATCAAGATGTGAAATGAGAGAGGACCTAAGTGTGACCTCTGAGGGACACCTGAAGATGCCTCTATAAAATTGGAAACAATACTCTTATATGAAACCATGTGAACTCAATGAGTCAGGTTACTGTGAAACCACTAGTAACGGTCCACTGACCCCCAACCACTCCAGTTAAACTAGGAATATCTGACATGGTTTATCTAGTCAAATGCCTTGCTAAAATCTGTATATATACAGTCAACTTGGAGTTTATGTTCCATAGCTTCAAGTATATAACAAGAGTAATAGGTCAAATTGGCTTGTATATTTCTCCCAGACATAAAACCAAATTGTCTATCCGAAAGATGGGGATAAATAACAACTCCGATTTTATCCAAAATCAAGGATTCAAAAAGTTTTGGGATAACACTTAGAATGGAAATCGATCTGTAATTCTTGATGTCATTTCTGTCCCCAGACTTAAAGATGAGTAGTATGAATGAAGAATTCCATTCGCTCAGAAAAGTGCCCTCAATCAAAGACTTTCCAAATAACAATCTCAGAATTTATGCATAAACAAATTTTCAGTTCTTCAATAGTTTAGAGGGAATGCCATCTGGACCTGCAGAGCTCTTTGTTTCCAACTTCAATTCTGCGCAGTATGTCAGCTACGTCAATTTTCAAACCACACAGCACCAGAGGAGACTCAGATATTTCAACTGATCCATAGTGACATTAGAATTCTTGTAGAAAGATGAAAAATATCTCGCAAACCCATCCACGATAGATTTGGTATCATTAAAAGCTGATGAGTCACAGTGCATAGTATTTGGAAGGCCCCTACTCTCCTTTTTTGAATTAACTTATTTCCAAAAAAATTTTGGTCAGTAGTGATACATCTTTTCAGATTCACATTGTAATTCGCAAAATGTCTCCTCGCTAAGCTTTTACAAATTGATCTGAGTTTACAAAATATCGTATACAGAATAGGAGAGTTACATCATTTATAACTAACATGATGATGAGCAAAGTGGGTGACCAAATCATTCGCAGAAATTGTCCAGAATATTCTTTAAACTAATCGTGAATATTTGTGGCCCAGTGACATGGTGCGTTGTCATCTATAAAAATTCTATCATTGTTTGGGAACGTGAATTTTGTGGCTGCAATGGCTGCAAATGGTCTCCAAGAAGCTGAACATAACACTTTTCAGTCAATAATCAGTTCAACCTCCAGTTTGTACCAGAGGTCCCAGACCATTCTATGAAAAAACAGCCCACTCTGTTACCAAGCTACTACCATTTGCACAGTGACTTGTTGACAACTTCAGTTGTTGGCTTCATGGGGTTTGCACTATACTCCAACTCCCATGCCCTTACTAACTGAAATGGAGATTTACCTGATCAAGCAACAGTTTTCCAGGTGTCAAGTGCCCAATCAGTATGGTCACAAGCTCAGGACAGGCACTGCTGGTGATGTGCTGTTAGCAAAGGCTCTGGAGTCAGTCTTATGCTGCTTAAAAAAACATTTAAGTCAAATTTCACCACACTGTCCTAATGGATGGGTTCATCATACATCTCACATTGATTTCTACAGTCGTGTCACCCAATGTTGCTTGTTTGTTAGCACTGATAACTACGCAAATGCTGCTGTTCTTGGACATTAAGTGAAGGCCATCACACACTATGTTTTCTGTTGTGAGAGGTTATGCTTGAAATTAGGTATACTCATCACACTCTTGATACTGCATCTTGGAATATTGAAATCCCTAACGATTTCCGAAATGGAATCTCTTATGCATCTATCGTTCTATCCAACTATCGTACCGTGTTCAAAAACTATTAATTCCTGACATGCATAATCATGTCAGAAACCTTTCCACATGAAACACTTGAGTATAAATGAAAGCTCTTCCAATGCACTGTCGTTTTATACCATATGTACACAATTCTACTGCCATCTGTAAATTAGAATATTGCTATCCCTTAATTTTTATGCGTACTTGATTAGTGGAAATATTTATTATTTACATACATGATTTTTTTGTTTCAGGGTTATTTATCATGAACTGGTTCAGACCACTAAAGAATATATGCGTGAAGTAACAACAATAGATCCCAAATGGCTTGTTGAGTTTGCACCAGCTTTCTTCAAGTTCTCCGACCCAACTAAGTTGAGCAAATTCAAGAAGAATCAAAGATTGGAACCACTTTATAACAAATATGAAGAGCCCAATGCCTGGAGAATATCTCGTGTTAGAAGGAGAAGGAATTAAAAGCACATATGAAATTTTGCTAACTTCTGTCTTTTCAGAATGCTGTCTACAAATTATTGTCATTGTATACCATTTAGGATTTCCTCTTTTGGTGGTATACTGAAGATTGTTATCACACTAAGAGGATCTTATTTATATAATTTATAATTGTTTCAGTGTAAATGAAGGACATATATATCGTTTAAAGTGTGCATGTAATATTGTTACAATTTTATGTATATAGTGTACATACAGTATTGTATGATTTTTATGGAAACAAAATGTTTGAAAAAAAAACAAATGTCCAATATTTGATTTTATTTTTTTAGATTTAGAATGTTATAATTTTATTTTCTTGTGAAAATATTTCTCTTTTGTTAAACACAGCAGTAAGCCTGTTTCAGACTAGAACTCTTGTATAATTGATAGTGATAGTATGGCATTTATCTCTAAATCACTGGTGGCTGGTGCCCCAAAAAAACTAGGGATGATGGATGTAATTTCCAAAATTCAGAAAACATGTATAATAAAACGTAAGCAATTCATGTAAAGTAATTAAAACTAAGTGTAATAAAAGTCTATACTCAAACATTACTTTAATAATTTTATGCGTAGTGCCCATATCAGGTATGTTCACCTCACATGCACATTGTTCTGGCTTTGATTTCCAATGGGCACTCAAGTTTTTGCATTAGATCTGCATTCAGACAATTGCTAGTAATAGAATTCATACAAACAAAAACAAACTAGGCTTTGATAATTAGGTGAATGCACTCCAGCACTTAACAACAAACTTTATTATTTGGTCTGTTTTAAATTATAGGTATAGGTGTTGTGGTGAGTTATCATTGGCATTTCTAATGAAATAATTATATGCGTCGTCATTGCCAACAATAATATTTATTAATAAAGCAGCTTTCGATGGCTTAGCCATCATCATCAGTTTTCTGCTGTATGGAAACTACAATAACGACTACTTGTCGATTGATTACTGATGATCATCCATCATCATCAGTACCTTACCCCACAGCATATTTGTTGACCACCTCTTCTTTTTCTTCTATGTTGGTGGAATCTGTTATTCTTCACACATCACCATCATGAAGAGTCAGAAGATGTCATTGTTGAGAAAATGATTTCATATACATCAATATTGCTGCATTATCTTGAATTGAATGTCATTAAATGGAAAATGTATAGTCATAACATAATCATTTCTCCACATGTCCCCTACCTATTTCCAATCTCACGATCTGTTAGAACTCACCTGTCCTCTAAAATGTAGTTTTCTAATAGGATGATTGCAATAATCTGTTTTGTATGTCATAATCTGCAAACTTCTATTATTTTGACGAAATCTGTTGGATGTAAGACTTGGGTGTAATTTTCTAACCATCAGTAGCACACTTACAGAGTTTTGTCTCTTTGGGTGCTCATAAACTGCCATAAACATCTTTCTCAGCCTTTGATATACTATGCAATGGAATATAAACCTTCAAAAACATGATAATTTGTAACTAAATTCCAACATCAAAAAGTATTGGATGGTACAAAAAGAATACAAATGTAAAATAATCCCAAAAATAAATTCACAGAACAGTTGCAGTAAAACTTTAAAAGGATAATAAAGTCATTAGTGGTTTTGAAGGCATAAAAAGGGTAAAAATAGTTTTTGTTTTTTTAACTATAGCCTTACAATCGAAAAAAATCTGAAAAACATTCACATCAATCAGGGTTTGGAGAGGAAGTTTTAAGATTGTCTTGTGCCTATTCATGTGTTCTAAACCCCTACATTTCAAAGTTAAAATAAAAAAATGTTTTTGACTAGAGGTTCTGGGGTGGGAGGGGGCCTAAGAATACCTCTCTCTAATTATCTTATTTTCATGTTACGAGTCTTAGTTTAATTTCTCATATGTCATTTGATTCTTGGGAACTTTTTAACATTTTTTCCAGGGGTTCCCTTTGTAGAGGGCATGTCTGAGTTGATTACCTGTATGATGCAACAATTAAATCAAGGCCAACTTGAATTTTTTTAGGGAACAATAGATACTTTGATCGTTTTTGCTGGCAGGTGTTACGTTTTCCTACGAAGTGTTTACAAATATTCTATTATGGCAGAGGGGAAAATTCAATCAAAAGATATTAATGATGATGTGAAAAAAATAAAAGATCTTTTTGGCAAAATACCAGAAACTGGAGATGTATTTCCTGCAATACCACGAACTGATAACAGTGCAGACATTTCACATGTCATCAAAGAAATATTTCAAGAATATCTTAAAGATGAACTTCCATCTTATGAATCGGCAAGGAACATGCAGATAACCTGCAAAGATAACGAAAGGTTGAAGAATTTTGCAGATAACGTAGTTGTGGTGAGGTTATGTTCGTATTTGCTTCTATTAAGTTACTGAAATACATTCCAATTTGAAGAAATATTTATTTATGATATTGAGATGGATTTTACTAAACTAATCCTATGATAGTGTTTTTGAAAGTTATTCTGAACGTGGAATGTTTTCAGATGTATGAAAGTCATAATGAAGCTTTAAAGGATATTGCTTCTGTGGAAGAAATAATGATGAAAAATCATGCTAGGTATATTTTGAAAAGAGATGAAATACAGAGAAATGCTCTAGTTAGTAATGTTATAGCTATGAAGTCCAGACCTATATTCAGACCTCTTGATGAAAACATTCTTCAAAAATATCCTCTTATTAAATCTAATGATGTGTTCTTTAAGGAAGTGCATGGCAATGTTGGTAAGACACTTGGGTAAAGAAAATTATATTTTAATATTTTGTGCGTTCAGTACTAATTACATTGACGTGATGAAAGATTTTCAGAAAGACGAGCCAGATGAATTTGCTGACTATTTAATATCTGATGATAAGAACTTACCCATTGATGTAGTTTTCCAGCGAAATACAGATGTGAAACATGAATTTGTGAAAAAGAATGAGAAGAAAGAAGATCAAATTCATAAATGGGAACCATTTTCTCCCAAGTATTTATGTGCACTCTGTTCCAATAAAATTATATTTTGTGTTAAACTAGTTGTAATTTAAAAAATATATATTCATTTCAGAAGAGATTGTTATGAAATATGTTTTAGGGAATCGCCTGTAATAAGATATGTATCAAAACCAAAAAAACATTTAATTAAAGTGGAACCTAATCAGATTGTTTTTACGTCATATGATCGAGGTTGTGTGTATCAGGTACTAAAATATATACTAAAGCATATATAAAGCAGTCATTCTTTTAATTATGTATAAAATTAATGAATATCTTTTTAGGAAATTATGTGGGTTCAAAATATCGGAAAATCTGTTGCTCGCATTCAAATATTACCTTTTAAGGAAACTTCCAAATTTAAACTACAATGGAGTAAAAAGTTGGGTGGAATTATAGCAATAGCTTCAGGCTTGTCTATCACAGCAAAAGTGGAGTTCCATTGTAAGTCATTGGATGATGTAACTGATGAACTTGTTTTGAAAGTTGAAGGAGGAAAAGATATTATTGTTCCAATCATAGCTAAACGACTTCCACCAATTCTGGAGGGTGTGTGAAAAATGTAATTATTTAAGGAATTTAATTAAAATTTGCAATTCTTTTTATTAACTATGCTTGGATTTGTTATTTCAGCATTAGAACCGGAAATCACTTATGATCTTGTGTTATGGTCACTGGAGAAAAGAGGTGTTGAAGCAACTTTAGATTGTGGAGTCGCATTAGTAGGTGACAGCGTTCTTCATACTATAAATTTGTTTAATGATGGAGGAGACGGCAGTTTTTGGATTATGACTGAAGAAGAATGGATACACTGTGAAGTGAAGGTACTTGAAGGTTATTGTGAAGGGATCTTCAAAATAATGACACAGTTCACTTCCTAATTGCATTAATTTGAAATACTTATAATTAAAGGATGTGACAATAGTGTTTTTAGAATTATTATAAAAATGGAAACTTAAATTGATGTTTTGCTTAACTTCTAAATATTTTAATACAGTGAAAGTATACTTAAACAAGGTTGAATTCTGAAAAATTATATCAAATCTAATAGTGCTAATTGGCATGAAACATACAAACTACATTTCATTTAACATTTTTAAGTTCTACAAATAACAAAACACAATTTAATAAGAAATTTAGGATCATTTGCTTCTTTTTGGCTTTCAATCCTTGGCTTCTCACTCATTCTCATAGTTAAATAACTTGTATTCCCTTGTCACCAAATTGAACAAGCAAACTAGATTTGCTGATGCACTTCACATCCAGTAGAAATTTTTCAGCAGAACTGACTGTCGTAACTGCATACAACGTGCTCTATGAGTCCTTAACGGATTCCCACAGAAGGGAAGCAGGAGGTAGCAAACTACAGGAATTCTGTGAAATGACTGAAAGGGAAACATCATTGTTTTATTAAGAGACGGTTATTAAAATCATATGTTACATGAAACACAAATGATTCCCCTGCAAAATAAGCGATTCTACATGTACATGTCTTGCAGTTACTAATGTAAGAAGAGAAAGTATTGAAATCATGGGCTGAAAAATGCTGAATATCCAACAAAAAAACAGTTATTGCCGAGCCCTCATAACGAAAAAAATTGATAAATCCAGTTGATAAATGTAGGGGGGAAAATCCTCTATCACCTGATGTGGCCGGAATCTATGTTTTATATGTAATTTCAAAAAATTGATTAATGGAAAAAACATCTGTGGGTCGGTCCATCCGTCTGTGCACAACACTCGCGTATAAACCGTTCAGCCGATTTTCTCCCCCAAAAAAATTCCCCAATCATTTTGTCTTAAGTCAAGGTCCCTGGATTTTGAAACCGATATTTTAATTTTGGGGAGGTTCTTTTCATGAAGGGCATTTGCAAAATGAGAAAAAATGGCTCCAAATATTTTGAATAAATTTTGTTGTTGAGTAGTTCAAAGTTTAAGTGAGTAGTGCAGATCTCATTTTCATTCATATCCCTGATTTTTTAAAAATTAAAACAAAAAGAAAATACATTTTTAAAGTACAAAATCGAAGGTAGATATTGTTGCCTTAGACAAAATATGTTGTACAAACTTACTGTGATCATGTACAAGTTCTAGAAAAAACTGAGTTGTTTTTGCGTAATTTGCACTTTAAATTATTCCAATTTTTTCTCAAAAACTGCTCTAAATTTTTTCACCATATATGTTATAAGGGACGGTAAGAAATATGCTGTTAATCCCATTTTCAAGTATTGCTCGATATTTTAGAAAATTGTTACAAAAAAAATTTAAAACTACAAAATTAAAGATAAAGATTTTGCTTTTGACAAAGTCTGTTGTACAAAGTTAACTCTTTAAAAAAGGTCATGTTCAATTCTTTGTACAAGTTAGTAGTTTTTGTGTAATTTCTGTTTAAAAGTAATAAAGCATTATGGATGTCCTATCATACATAACAATAACATTGTAATATTGAGAGAAAGCACTTGCTGTTGTAGCATCACTAGTTCAACTTTCTACAGCTCAAAATCACTTGAGGTGATTGCTTAATAAATATCAATCTTAAAAATTGTGCCTGGCCATTGACCACTGAAAATGAAAAATATTTACATGAGTCTTGGAGAAAAATGAATCAGTTCCATGAAAAAAGAAAAAGAGATGTTAATGGAGGTGTCCGCAACATCATGGTGGCCATTTGATCAGGTTCAAAGAATGTCAAATATTTGAATGTACTATGCTCAACCTTTAAACTTTCTCATACACGTAAGGTATAGAAAGAATTGTAAAACTGCAAAAATCAGTGTCGAGATATTGATAGAAATACTTGTTGGGAGGGTCTCTGATATCGTCAAAGTGGTTTCGTCATAATGTTTGGCAACATTAACAACTAAACCACTCAAGAGATGTTGATGGAATAATTGTTAGGAAAGAATATGATAAAGCAAAAGTGATTTCTCCCAAAAATCTTGCAAAACTAATACCAAAAACATTCAGAGAATTTTATCCAAAACAAATATTCCTCCCATTGTTCTGACTACACTCTTTAATATGTGACATCAAATTTTCTCCCTTAACTTATCCTTTACACAAAGATTATGATAAGAATAAAGATTCTGTAGTACCTATTTTTAAAAGTCACATTTTCATTTATTCTATAAAATAGAGAGAATGTGAAAAGAGTGAGTGTGTCTGGTCAAACACTATCTTTTTTCAGTCAAACACAGTAGCAATTTTTCATGAATTAGTAATGAAGGAGTTGGCTATTTTAACATCAAACAATTTTTCAGGAATGTTTCAATGGTAGTGATTTTACTAATGAAACAACTTCTTGCATAGAATAGACTTTGATAAAATTTGAATTATTGGTGATATTTACAGTAAAACAATTAATTATTCTTTTGAACAAAGTTACATAATCTTAAATAATTAATTGACAACAGTAATAATTAATAATTCTTAAATTATTATTGTTAGTTGTAATAAACTGAGATAACTTTTTTGGTTTTCAGTGTGGATCTCTGAATAATGTTTTAAAAATTCCTCCATTTTTATTTACACCTTTCTATTTTGCTTTGAAATCCAAAGAAGAAATCACGTTATGTGTTCTTTATGAACCTCAATCTCATGGATTACAAATTGAGCACCTGAAAATATTGTGCAACAATTGTGTGATTCATTCACTGGACATACTGGCTGATGCTGTGTTCTTTGAAAGTAAATTTATTTCATTTACAGTGAGTATATTGTAACTGAATTGAAGTGAAATTCTTTTTTCATACCTCATTCATCCTGACAATAGTAATTAAAATTTCTTATTATATTCAATACGATTTAAGAAATTTTAATAAGATGTTCTTATTATGCAAAATTATTTTTTTCTTCAGAGCTTAGAAAAAATATTTGCTGTTGAAGTGGATGATGATTTTTTTGCTGATTTTTATTTTAATATTGGACGTATTCTTCCAAACGGTTCTGTACAGAAATCATTTTATCTTACTAATGAAAGGTTTGCATCTCCCTCTAATTTTATATATTTGTTTGATTTCTAAAAATATGTATATACCCACACACATACACAGTAGAAGTCTGTTTTAAGAGACCTGGGTATCTAGATTTTTCCTTCTTTTAAGAAGGAACCTTTCAAAGAAAGAAATGGGAATCCTTTCTTATACTGCCTTTGTCAAGGGTGCTTGAGGGTAGAAGCAAAGTTGCCCAGCTCGCTGTGAGAGAAAATTTGTTGTTTCAACTTTGTTCCCTTATGAAGGGGAGGGATTTTTCTGGAACCAATATTTTGAGTACTATATATTCGAAACTTATAAGTGACCACATGGAAAGAAAATTCTTATAATTTTTGCTTTGAGTGATTACAGTCAGTATTGATTCTAATACGCTAAGTTCTCTTATAACAGCTTTATATCATACATAATTATTAGAGAGATAGTGTTTTATATACAATTTAATGAAGGTACTTCATAAATGATATGTACGAATATGTATGTACTGTATACTATTAATAGCTATATTCCTGCATGTAAATAAAAGTTAATTTAGAGGTATATTAATAAAATTATTTTATGCATATTTTGGCACTATTCTGAGGGCTCACGCTGTTAGTTTCTGTAAACCAAAGGTCCTAACACATTGACCTTCATTTTTCATGAAACGTGGATCATGAAAAGACTTTAAAAGGCTATTATTTCATTAGTTATTTAGTAGGCAATTATGAAATTGTAAATTGTGAAGTAAATGATATGAGGTGTAATCTGTTTTCTTCCTCATCGCAATTACAAGATGATTGAAATATTATGTGTCATACTGTGTAAGATTGAAGTTTCCCTATTGATCGCAGAGTAGTTACAACAGTCATCTATGTCATTGGGTTGGTTGCAAACCCCTAAAAATTGTGTTCTTCTTTTCTTAATACTGATTTGTGAATCTGAATAAAGGCTTTATTTGTTAATCAATTTTTAGTATTTCTGTTTGGTTAAAGAAATTCCAATCTTACATTTTATCTTTATTTTACAATCTCCATGTTTTTATTTACTTCTAATGCAAAATTTTGTCTTTTTATGATGGTAAAAGGAAGGAGAAAGAAATATGAACATAAATTTGAATTCATAATAGTCATTTGACAAGAACTGTACAAGTTTATTTCAAGTTTCCTTAATTTTTCTACTTTACTAGAATGTCATTTATACTTAAAAATTGTTTAATGTACTTAAACTTGCATTTCCGTAAGATTTAATATATTTTTTCTTTTCAAATTCTTACAGTGATTTAGAATTGCAGTTTTATTGGAAGAAACGTTTAATTAAATTCCCAAAAGTGAGCGAGTCCCCTCCATATGCTCTTCATCATATACCTTTGGATAGAATAAGTATTGTTCCTTCTGAAGGAGTACTGTCTCCAAAATCAGATCAACATTTTATTGTCAAATGTGTATTAACAAACGGAGAGCGAGGACATTACAGAGCAGTTTTATCGTGAGTCTATTACAATTTTGTGCTTCAAGAATTAAAATATAGTTCTCTTTCTAATTTTTTATTATTTATTTGCAATGTCTGCATTAAAATTTGATTTGTTATCCATTTTCAGTAGTAGAATTCTGACATTTTGGATTTGTATCTTCTGATTTTGTGATATTCGGTATTATTAATAGTCATCTAACACATGTGTAGTACATTTAATTAGGTAATTATTGTAAAAATTTCCCTCTAATTGTTAAATGATGTATTATATCTTAAGAATATCAAAATTCAAGCTGATTATTTTGTACAGGTTATAAAATAATTTGTTCTCATTAATCAACAAATTTAATTTAAATCTTTCTCTGAATTTTCATTTACATGCAAAGTTTTTCAGATTTTTCATTGAGAATTTACCATGGAAATCTGTAACAAAGGAATCATATGTAAGGAAAGTTTTTGTAAATCCTATTCACGCTGAAAGAGTGGATATTCTTTTAAATGAAATAGAACTTTGGGTGGAGTGTGTACCATTGGCTGTGATGCTCCAGCCTTGTATTATCAAGATAACCAGTGAGAAATTAAGGTTAGAAGAATGTTCATTGACTGAATTGATTTCCCATATTAGTTAATTCTTGGACTGAATCCTTATCGAGTATTGTTAGTTGTACACAGTTTGACTTATAAAATTTTAAGTCTTGGAACACACCCCAAAATTAATTATTAATCTAATAGAAATAGTTATATATTTACAGTATAGTTAAATACTTATTCCCAAGGTACTGCCTTACACGTTGCATTACATTACTTGGGCATAAAGAGTTCCCCTGGATAAGATGGTAAAAAGTTCCCTAAAACCAAACAATATATGATAGTTAAACTATGACAGGAATATAAATATAAAATTTTTGAAAGGTTTCTTACCCCCATGCCACCACCACTATAGAGCCACAAACATATTTTTTTATTTTCATTTTTTTCATCAACTTACCATTATTTTAACTGATTGAAAAAATGTTTTGATATCTTCTTGGTGCCAAGTTCAAGCGTAAATAATTTATTAAAAACAATTACAAAAATATTTTTTACTGTGCCTTGTAATTCTGTAACAGGAATGAAAAAAATCTCAAAACACTAATCATTGTGAATTTCTTTCAGATTTTTTTTCAATTGATGGGCTATTGTTAAGAAAATTTAAACTTTTTTATTCTTTTTCCCCCTTAAATCATTTATGTCTTTAAATACACTAAAAATAAGTTCTCTACATTTGTTTTAGTTTTTATTATAAATTTATATACATGGTTGTAGTAGCCAGTAATTTTTTGATCTTGGAATTTAGTTGCTAATAATCACATTTTTAAAGCTTTATAATGATTTATATAACATAGGCTAAGGAAAGAGGATAGTTTTTGGCAAATTATAAGTATCCTGCAACACAAACCCTTTAAGTATGCTACTGTTAGGTGTAAGAACATCCCAGTCCTACAACTGGCTTTCAGATTTCAGAAGAAAAAATAGAAGTTAGCAGATTATGACTTACTAAACAGATCATTGCAGCACACGTTACAATTGCAGGTAAATTGGAAGTGATGCATCCCAGGCCTTTTAAATCCTTGGTAAATCCCATTTGAATACAACTTTTTTGATGACAGTATATAATTAGCTATCCGGGTGAAGCTGCGTCCATGGCAAAGGTGTCGACGTTTCGGTTGCCATTCTGCGACCTTCCTCAGGACGTATTGTTTCGGAGATGTATGCATTATGCCCTGAGGATGGTTGCAGAATGGTGACCAAAACGTCGGCACCTTTGCCATTGACGCAGCATCACCCAGACAGCCAATTATATTCTGACTCTGGCGGTGGAAGCCTATGCTCTCAAGTGAGTTCTGGCATTCTACTTGTTTTGGAGGACTGGTAAGGGACATATGGGGAAATGGACAGGGAGAGGTGAAGAATAGGTGAGGGACATGAAAGGAAATGAAAGGGGACAGGTTGGACCTAGATTATGTTCTGAGACAGAATTCTACAACATAATACGTTTTTGAACTTTCTTTAACAATTTTTCAGAGTTAGTTCTTTTGGGTGTCCCCACTCCAAATCATTGATGGTCAGAAAAATACAGAAGTGTAAATAATTGTAAAATAAAATGGAAAAAAAAAAATACCGAAATTATTTTGACGAGAGTTTTTTAATTTTCTGTGCATTTTAATCTCAATGCTCAGCAACACAGGTCTCTCTCACACAGTACTGGACCTGGACAGTTTGGGGCATGAACATTTGCATTTGGATTGAACATTAAATCAATATCCAGTTTTCAAAGAATTATTATTTACAAACCACAGAGTTTTGCCTGTGTCTACAGTAGTGGCAGCATACATGCCACTGACAGTTCTCTCGTCATGTGCTTTGGTATGTCATGTGACCCGCTCTGATTTCTTGTTTCTATAGATTTCTTGTTGTTGTTGTTTCTTTTCTTTTTTCCCCTCCTATGGCCAAGTAATTGAAAAAATCAAAAAAATATCAGCAACAACATGTTTTGAGAGGAAGTTTTGATATTTTTTGTGACTGTACCGATGTTCCCAGAGACAGTAAAACAGTTCTTGTAAATCTGGATCCAACCGGTTTCCCTTCATTTTCCCACATTTTTCCTGCAGATGTTTCCAAACTGGTTTCTTAGAAACTGCCAAAAATAATTTTCCTTAGTATATGATACACTATTAAAAGGATTGTAAAGCTTTGAAATTATGTTAATTAGTAACTAAGTTCCAAGATCAAAAAATTACTGGGTGCTACAGAAATGTATATAAATGTATAATAATATCTAAAATAAATGTACAGAACTGTTGCAGTCATTTTCAGTGTATTTAAAGGTAGAAATGATTTAAGGGGGAAAAGAATAAAAAATTTTTAATTTCTTTTAACAAGAGCTCAGTAATCAAAAAATCCACTATTGGTGTTTTAAGAGCAAAGTTTGAAATATTTTCGTAGCTGTTCAGGATTCTAAAATACAGTAAAAAGCATTTTTTTTAATTTTTTACAAAAATATTTTTTTTGCGTTTGAAATTGACACTGAGAAAATATGGCAAAAAAAAAAAATATTCTGGTCGTCAAATTATTTTCTTATTTTTTCAATCAGATAAAATAATGTTCATTTAAGTTCATAAAAAAAATTAAAATAACAATCATGTTTTCAGCTCTAAAATAGAGGGGGGGGGTGGGAGAGGATGCTAAGAAACCTTTCAAAAATCTTATTTTTATGTTAATGTCAGTTTAACTTCTTATACGTCATTTGGTTTTAGGGAACTTTTTACCATCTTACCTAGGTGTATCCTTTGTTTTTATCCAATCAAATATTTGTATTTGTTGTTTTGAAACACTTCATTGTTATTATATATAATTTCAAAAGTGTAATTATTTTCAGATGTAATGATGAACCTGTTCTTCCTAAAATCACTTTAGCTAACATAACATTGGAAGATATCGGGTTTCATTGGATACCTGTTTCTTCACCATTTTCTGAACCTGCTGCTGCAAGTGTAATTGAGATGTTCGTAGAGTGTGGTACAATTAAAACTAAAACTTTTATGCCTTGCCCTCTTAAAATTACTACTCTGTCACATGGCTTGCTTTTACATGAAATAAGGTATTATGTGATTATGTTTACATTGTTGTTTATTCAATTTTTGTCTGTCTCAATAGTATATTAATATTTAAAAGGAAATTTACAGATGCAGTATCAATGAAGGCGAAAAATCAGTAGAAATGCTAGTTTGTGCCCAGGTTGCAGAACCTCAAATAAATTCTTCAAAATACATTCTTAATTTTGGAAGTGTGAAAAAAAACTCTTCAGTGAGTCAACAATTCAAAATAAGCAATGCATCAAACACAACTGTTGTGTGGGTAGCAAGAGAATTTAAATATCATTTTGAATCAGGAACATTAAAAAATATGATAGAATGCAGGTTACTTCCAGACAGTGGTTGCTTCCGGCACTCCAACAGTGTTTGTACCGTTGATTATGCTCTGGATACACGGGTAAGAAAATTAAATGAATGAGTAGGTTATCAAAAAATAATTTTAAAATTCTAGGTATGTTTTGTAAATTCTTCTTAGTTTTAAATTTGCTGTGTGCTTCCGAAATATAAATTTATAATTTGTTGGCATTGCAATTTCACAAAATTAAATTTCTTTAGTATATTAGTAAGAAAGTGTAAAACTTGGTTATAAAATTGTATTTGCCTGACAACTATTTTGCCTGATCCCATGGCAAAATAAACTAGTGTAGATGCCCTGTGAGATCTTTAATGTAATTTACAAAACTCATTGCTATTTAGCCCTGGAAGTATAATGTACATAGATATTGTGCCTACAACTTTTAGAGAAGTCTGAAAATATTTCATGGAGTGTTGATTTGACTTCTTTTACTTCAACAAACCCTTCATATATATTTTTATACTTCCTTTCCTTTTGTTGTGATTTTTGGGGAAAATTTATATTTGATTACATAATTTGTGTTATTAATTAATTACTCAAAATTTTTAACTTTTATGTATTTATATGAAATAATTTAATTTTAGCATTGCGAGTTAATTTTTGTCTGTATATTTTCATCAAGTGTGTGAAGAAGCTAATTTTTTTCAAATTTTGTTTTTATTCTAATTTAGAGAACAGGAATATGGATATCCATTATCGAACTCAGTATATTGTGCCTTTCCCGACGTTATCGTCAGCATTTCATATTAGTTGTGGGTGACATTCAAGAACCACAATTGACCATGAGATCCCCTCCACGTTCCACTGCATTTCTTTGCCCAACGAACCCTTTGTATTTGGGGATACCTGTTGTGTCAATTATTGTCTTATGTAATCATTCAAATGTTCCTGGGAAATTCAGATGGGGAGTGCCTTTAGGTCAGGACATCCATAAAATGAGGTTTGATATAAAACCTCGACATGGAGTCATACAACCTACAGATTGTATGCCTCTGACAGTCCTTATTATCCCTTTAGAATTGGTAAGTTTGAAATTGATTTTCCTTCCCCTTACAACAGTGGGTTTTTATAAATCGAAAGTATTGTTTAAATCTAAGATTAATGAAATATTACTAAGGAATTAGTAAAAACTGTTTCTTCCTAGGGTTGTATATCCAGCTTTTTCATACCATGTTTTGTTGAGAAAAATAATGATCCAATAGTGTTGGGTATTCATTGTGACATTAAAGGATTATGTGTGACCTTTATAATACCCACAGAAGTAGTTACAGGACATAAAAGTTCTTCTGAAGTACTTGTAACATGGAAAGCTGGTGATCAAATAATGTTTCCAATACAAACATTACCTCATCAAGAAGAAGAGTACAGATGGACTCTCGGTGATCAAACTAAAGTATGTGAAGAAATCCACCCAGACATGAAAAGTTATGGAGAAATTGTCGATGCAAAACAGTCAAAACAAGGAAGTATTTATGAACAAGTTTTGAAGCAAGTTGATTATGATAATGAAAATGTTGGAAATATAAAAGATTACTACGAACATTCAGGTGAAAGTGATGAAAGTGAACACATAATGCTGGATGGGAAAATAGGAAATATGTATGTAGAAGAAAAATCTCGATTGATGCTTCATTTTCAACTGTGGGAAAGCACTGCTGTTATGCAAACACATGTGTATAATGCAGAGAAACCTGTTAAGGAAATTGATGTTTCTCAAAAATTATCTGAGATTGAATTACCTGCATTTCATACTTATCCTCTTGCTAGTAAAGAAAAATTGAATGAAGGTAGTGATTCAAGAATTTTGAATGAAGAACAAGTGAAGAAGAACAAAAGGAGAAACACAGACGTTGACATGCTAAAAGAAGACAATGTAAAGCAGAAAAGTCAAGAAGTAGTTCAAGGTCTCATTGGAGAATGTCTCGGCCAAATATTCAATGCAGATGGTAAGACGTGTCTTGTACATTCATATACTTTTCTTAGTACTTTGATGTAAATAGAAATATACCCTGTTTGATATAAATATAATGAATATTTGCCAGGTGATTCATCTTCAGGCAGAGAAAAGGCTGAAAAAATGGAATTCTATAAAGATATTGCAGTTCAGGAAATTGGCCCTAAAACGCATACAGTGAAAGAAATAAGAATGAAAGGCGTTAAAGTCAAACAAAGTATGTATGTTAAACAGTTTTCTCATGATGATTCAGCAATATTTGAAGTCCTATTAGTTCTTTCATTCATTTTCATTTATAGTTGCCTCTACAAAATTTTACATTCAGAACGAAACTCCTATTGACGGTCGTGTGGAAATTTATGGAAACAACTTCCCACCAAATACTTATGTAAAAATAGAGGACATAATTGAAACTGTTCACTGTGAAACAACATTTAAAGAACAAGGTAACAGCAACAAACAACTTGATATAATATAATTTCTATTAAAGGAAAATGCTCACATTAATGAAAATATAATACATCTTATTTTACAATATTTGCAGATAAAATAGAATGCTGCATTCTAAAAGGAAATGGTATTGTGGTGTTTGTTAACCAACAGTCGAAAAATTTGAAACCATATGATTCAATAGATGTAGAGTTAATTGTTTATGCTAATACATGGGGCATTTACAATGAAACTATTGTTTGCAATATCACAGGATTGCCAACATTTTACATCAAATTAACTGTAGAAGTACAAGGTCAACCTCTTTTATTTGCTTTGGCACCACATGATATTCTTTGTAAATATCCTGTGAGGTAAGATGATTTTCTTTAAATGTAAGCCATTGTTTAAAGATTTGTATTACTTAAAACTTTGTTAATTGAGCAATTAGTTCATAATAACTCATTGGATATTTAGACAATTTACCCAAATCCCTTGACATTACTTTTAAATGTTTTCCATGAAATTACTAATTTACAAAAACTACATATAGTGTTTAAAGTGTCAATTTCAACAATACAATCTAAAAATGCAATTAATAATCCCATTTTTAAGATTTTAAAAATTATCTTTGCTGTTTACATGCTCGTATAGTTGAATCATCTCAAACAAAGACAGTTCTGTAATGCACATGTGCCTGAGAACACATTCTGCACTACATTTTCCTGCTGATAGTCTCAAACACAATTCTAATTACTAGGGAGAGAATTTTTATGCCCTAAAAAATTTTGTAATACGCTTTTAAAAATACCCATTTATTACCTACAAATTCTGAAATACGGACAATTAAAATTAACAATATTTCCCTTCCTCTATCAACCTTTCTAGATAAAATTCCAGAGAAGCATGTTTGGAATGAATAAATATATTTTTGTACAAACATATGGGCTTATAAGCTACCCTACTTCACAAGAGAAATAATTGAAGAAAATATTCACCTTAGTGAAGTACATTGTGTGTTGTATTTCTTCTGACTGGTTTAAAAAATGTTATATCAAGAAATATCCTACCTTTGCACAAGTATTTTATCATCTATAGGGGAAAAAAAAAAAAAAAAAAAAAAAAAAAAAAAAAAAAAAAAATGCAAACCTCTGACAAACTCTTTGAATTAATGTTCTAAGGAAAATATGAAAATGTTTTTTATAAATATTTTCTCTATTTCAATGTTAAATATGCAAAGTTTGCAACCTGTAAAGACGAATATAACACATGCCTATGAGACGAATATGCGCATAAAATGACAAAAGACGGAAATGTGCATGCTTGCTGTCTACTTGAAATAATAGCCTGATTGAATTGAGTACTTGTCATCCATCAACACATTTATTTAAATTAAATCTTGCTTTATACAGGACTGACAGCAACTCTACGTATGTTCACCTCTCTCCAGAAAAATGACAGTTTCTTACTAGTAGATGTTTAGTTAACGTCTCTTTTGTTTCGTGTCTGATTGTTCTGAACATTTTATCAGTGCTCACTTTCTGTCTTGTGCATGACCCTTTCACCCTGTGTCCTCTCCTACTCCTGGGTGCATCATTGCCTGATTACATGCAGGCAGTCTTACTATTGGATATTTGCACAATTTCTGAAGTTCTATTTCTGCAAGGTTGTTTACTGATGGGGAGCAATCTCTCCCCTAAGGCCCACTTCTTTGAAGGTTTCGATTGGGTGGTATTGTTTGTTCACTGTTGTTGAGGGAAGGATCGGGAAAGTTTGCTGCATTTTGCTACTGTGGACAAGTAAAGGCATGTCCAGAGAAATTAAATGAGTTTGGAACTTAAGAATTTCATTAATCTGTCGCTTCATGGCACCAAAACGTCAATTGTGCAGAATAAGGGCTATCAGGGGTTGGATGACCTTCTTTTGGCTTTGAAGGAGAGTGCCCTGGGGAGATTTTGTGATTTCTTTTGTAACAGGCAGGGCTAGTATGCCAACAAAGAGAGTGCCGCGTAGACACCATGCCAAATGCTTGGTTTTAAAGCCTTCCGGCCAGCCATGGACGTGCGTGGCTAATCGATGCACAACGGTTGGGCCAGGCAGCAAACCTCCGGTACGGAATGATGATGGCATTCAAATCGTGTCAGCAAAGAGCACACGATACATCACACATTATCAATGCATTCGGTTTTCATTTGTATTGTAAATAATTTATTTAAACAGACTCAAATATGTCTGTTAATGAGGAATGTACTTAAGCTTCTAGGACAACCCCGATCGTGATCAATTTTTTGTCCAGTTTCCCTGATCCATTGAGCAAATGCTGAGATCGACCCTTGTTTTGTTTCTGAACATCAATGTAGCTTCACTATGCTCATACTATCATTTTATTGAACTCTTCTTTTGCTTGTAGTGGTAGGAGTAGAGCTTGGGCTGAGTTGCTATTTTGTTAGCAATGCAAAAATATAGAATCTGCAGTTCTGGAGCTCAAGAAAATGTGCGCAAATAGTACTTCTCTCTCATACGCCACATCACTGGTGCCTCATTCAATTTTATTCAATAATAATAAATACATTTATTATTTAACAAAAATGTACGATCTCCCCAATAAATCAAATTTTTACTGCACTTCACATAACCTTTCTGGTAAAGACTCAATAGTGAATCCAAAGATAGATTCAGACAAAATGGCTCATGCCAAGTTTGCAAATTTTTCAGATGTGGAGGAATAATTACAATACCTACAAGTAAAATAGTTATGGCAAACCCAAGTATCTCCTCTTGTATGGTGATCTAGCATGTATGTGTGTCAGTGCTGGTCAGTTTCATCTTTCCCAGTTCTTCACTGAGAGAAGTGGCTCAGGGTATCAATTAATGTCACTGCAATGCCTGTAACTGACAGTTTATAAGAAATCAAAACAAAACCCTGTTAGGGTATTACTGCTGAATGGAGAATTACTCCTCCCCAGTTGTGCATCAGAGATTTAAGACAAAAGAGGTTTTTTGACTTCTTTTAACTGTTTTCAGCTGATTTTTAATTTTTTGACTAATTTTTAATGGTTTCAATGAGGATCAAATCAAAATTGTCCTTGTTTCAAGGGTTGATTTGAAAGTTTCTTCATGTGTTTGCCCCAAATTCATCTGATATTGTAGATACTTAGTGTACAATTTGTAATTTGTTTATAATTTAAGAAAAATTTAAGAATATTGCACACATTTCATTCCACATTTTGTATTTAATATCATTTCATAAAGCTTATAAAATGACGGGTCAAAAATTATGTTTTCAATGTAACACGTTCCATTACTTTTTGAGAACTGAAATTAACTTGTCTCTATTCCAAAAGTCCTGGTTTATTTTGATCATGCTTCAAAAGTAAAATTTAAATAATAGAAAATATAAAGTACATTCACGATTTGCCAATATTTTGACATTGATGCATTAGTTTTTGCAAAAAATTAAAACACAATTAAATATTAAAATTAAATTTAATAATTGGGAAAATAGGGAGGCAATGAACTAATGACTACAGCCCAGTAACTGTTGACTTTTACAACTAAATGAAATGCTGAGTTCTTTTAAAAATTGTAAATCTCTAGAAGGAAAAAAAACAACAAAAAAAGCAATAAAAAACAATAATATTTACTCGATCATATAGATACAGTAACCATATACAGATAAAAGTAATGTGTCCACTGCCCATCCATTTATCAACATTACTATACATTTTTTAATGTGTACATTTTTGTATACATTAATGTACATTCTATACATCTTATGAATTAGTAAATTAACATTTTTACGGAAATAAAATATTTTATTATGTAAGGCTATGGGACCCTGTTCAATATGTTCGAGGGAGAGGAGGACATGGCCTATTAAAGGTCCTGTTTCACCCACTAACACAGTGTAGGAATTCAAATAATAAAATGTTATATGATTGATGTGGATTAAATATTTGAATTATTTCACCACTGTTTTCTGACCTCTTCTTGTGCATTAGGTTTGGGACAATGCGATACGGAAGTGAACCCCGTTCACGATCTCTCAAGATCCACAATGACAGTTGTGTCAGTCTTACTGTGGCATGGCACATATTCATGAAAGAACGTATAGTATCAAGAGATGAAGCAGAAAAAGAAATGCTTTTCAATATAGTACTTGATGTTTATTCAGCTGTTAACGATGCAGGTGAAACAAGTTTTCACTGTCAAGACACAGAAGACTGCTGCAATAAATGTATCAAAAAAGACAAAGAAAAACAAGAAGTGATGGAAATGAATTTAGTCCCTTACATAGGGAAGGAGGATTACACTTTTTTTCAGGTAGTCATAATAGGTTACAGTTGTTTCATGGACTCATAAATATTCATGTGCTGATCGAAAAGGCATGTTTTTATAAATACTATGTTCAAAATTTTGTAATATTTTATATAGTTTCTTCTGCCAGAGAATGCTTTCATTCTTTGAACAATCTGTGATAATGTCAGATTTCTTCAGAAATACAAATTTTCTGAATTATTTGTGATAACAATTCTTAAGTCTAAAATCAATCGGTATCAACCTCACGTGCATTAATGACATTTTAAAGAGGGTCAACGGTGATCATGGAATCGATATCTCCTGATCCTGACAGACGCCTGATTGCTATAATAAAGATCAAGATCCCATTGATTATAAAAATATTTATGCATTTATTATTATTATTATTATTATTATTATTATTTATTTATTTATTTATTTTACTTATATAAATCTACAAAAATCTAATAAATTACTATTTCACTAACCTTTGGAATTGTGCATCATTCACATTAATAAAATAAAACTTTAGTGCAGTCATAAATATTTTTCAAAAACAAAATCACAGATTATATTTGTAAGTTTAAAAATAGTAATAGTACAAAATCTTAAAAAATTTAATAATTTTCAAACCTTGCTCGTATTAGTCTAATTGTTATGTTTAAGTCAGTTACACACAATTATTTGCATTGTAATAATATTGTATACTACATACTATAGGAAAAAAATTGAGGGGGTCAATGAAGCATACAATTGTTTTAAAAAGAGTCAAAGCAAGAAAAAGGTTGGGAAAACCTGGTCTAAACTGATGAAATGAGAGGAAGAATACATTGTAGAAATTCTGTGACAATCTCTTAACCATATATTGAACTTTAAAAAGAACATTTTTAAGAGAGTCTTATGGTTTGCTTCTGATATATCATACCTCTATTAAAATAATTCACGAGGAGTTTGTAAATATATATATATATTTAGCTTGCCAATGTTTCTTAATTTCTATCTCATTTTTTTTCTGGGCTGTAAATTATATACAAAATATAACATTATTACATTGATTCATAAGTAAATAAGATTTTCAGAATATTTTTAAAAAATAAGATATTTGGAGGTAGTATTACATTACATATAAAAACAATTGTTAAGAATAATCTACTATCCCCTAGAATCTTGTTTTTGCCCTAAAGTGTTTTTTTTTTTTAATTTATTTTTTATTTAAATGTTAGCACTATTAATCAGTGCAGTAATGGTATTCTTTATACACAATGTACAGCATTGATAAGAGAACAATGAAGTTAAGGAACATGGGCAAACTCCATTAATTTATTTATGGACCAACTACTCACAATGAATTTAAATAAATTATTGCTTTGTAGTCATGATTTTTATCAGTAAATATGGATTTTCTTCTCCCAAACCTCACATACATTTTTTTCTTTTTATTTGCAAAGGTTTTACTAAAACCCTTATGAAAAGTTTTTACTTTTTGAAGAAATTGTTCATAATTTAAAGATCTAATTTTGAAGGCCAGATTTCTCTCAGAAAATATATCTATCTTCAATAATGTAGTTTTAGGAAGGGTGCGGAAAACTTTAAGTTTTTGCATTTTCAAAACTTTAGAGGTTCAATTAAAATTGGATCTGCTCCATTTTATAAGCGCACATCATCCTATTCTAGTGAACACTTAAAAAATTTGGAACCATGTTTGAGAAAACTTCCAAAATGTCCTAGCAACATCACATAAAGTACCCACAACAATTAAGATATTCATGTAAAATGTTAGAGTTCACAACTGAACCCAGATTGATCTGGGAATATTCATTTTGATGAAATTTATGCGTATGCTGTAGGTGCTAGTATTTTTCACACTCACATAGTGAGAAAAACACATTCAATACCAGGGACCCACAAAACTTGTATTTCTATGGATTGTTTCCCACTACTTTCTTTATACTATGTATTTATTTAATTAAGTAAAATACTTTCAGAACACAAACATCACAAAATGGGCTTTTTCTCTAGGAAAATCTTGGTGTTTTTCTCAGTAAATATTAAGGAACTGGGGGATCAAATAAAGAACAAAAAGAACCATTGGAAAGCAGATTTTTTCAGTTAGATACATTACTATACATTTGACTAAACAACACATATGGAACTTCTAGTTCCAACGAAACTTTATTTTGGTTTCCCAAAAAGTGGGAACTTTCTTCATTGTGCCCCGGAACTTGCTTTCCAATACCATCTCTTTCTAAATCATAAGTGTCATGTGTCCTCCTCCTATGTCATTAAGTCAGGTTGACCCCAGAGAGGTCAACCTTCCTCTCCAAAATGCCTATGTCACTACTTCAAAAATTAAATAGTTATTTTATAATATCAGTTTTGTATAATTGTTTGTCAAAAGTACAATAATTAATTGTTGTGAGAAGAAAGTAATAAAATGGCAAAATATTTCTTCTATGGTCAATTGAACTGCAGACATTTGGAATAGTTTTCATAGGTGTAATTAAGTATGTATGAATTGGTGAATGTGGGTATGATATTACAAAGTTTCAAGACTTTCATCTTGTTAGTAAAAAAAAACAAGTCTCGCTTTAGCAGACAGAATTTTTCAAAAGTGAAAAGTTTGGATATTTTCTAGAAGGTGATATCAGAAATTATAGAGATCAGACTTAGACAAAAGAGCTAACATTGCTGGAAAGTATAAATGTGATGAATTATTTGTAATTTAAAGAAAAGAGGTTTGCACTTTTTGTTTCATGTACCAAAAACTTTCTGAATTTTTTAGGATATTGTGGTTTTATGAATGAATATGGGTCACCTTTTGTGTCAATGGCAAGATTTATTTATTTTAACGCTGAGCAATTTCTTTACCATTTCTGGAAACGAGAATTTGCTGATATTGTGCTTCCTTCCCAGAGTGACCAGACCTAAAAAAACGATGAAAGGGGGATACACTTTTGGAAAGGGGGAGGAGAGATGTGACTCTTGCCTCGGGTGTTAAAAGTCTACAGTTAAGCCACTAGAAAACACACTTGTTACCCTCACCACCTATTAATAGTGTATGCATAGCTAAAGTTATCCAAAAAATTACATATTGATCAGTTCCTTCCTCCGGCTTGAATTCAAACCTGCAAAAGTGATGTGTATAACCATCTTTCCTTAATCCAGTAAGCTCTTCTGATGAAATTTTGTGGAATGAAGGAACTTCCCTAATTCACTTGGAGAAAAGCAATGAAATCATGGCTTCTGGACTTATTCCATTATATTTATTTACTTTGCTGATTCCAAAACTGCTGACTGTTCTCAAATTGTATCAGCTTTGATGTATTGTTCATATTGTGAAAGTCTAGGAATTCACTTTATCTATAGCCTATATTACATATTGGGTGCTGCTAATTTTATGATCTTTTTTAATAGAGTAAATTTTGTGTTTTCACTGAGAATGTCCACAAATATCACATTACGGAAATCACAAAGGGTGTATTCAGTGATCAACTTATCATAAGTGACAATAACTATGTCTTTCTCTTAATGCTTTGGTTTTATTTCATAGTGAACAGATGGATAAAAATGAATGGTTTAAAAATCCTTTGTCAGTTTCTCAATGAACAACTTGTGTTCCTTTGTCTATGTTTTAGAGGGTTTTGTTAAGCATTTGCACTGTATTGTGAGAATCAGAGCTAATTTGCTAGCTACTAATAGTGCTATTTTCAGATTCTACAACCTTAAATATTCCAGAAAGGAGTTATTATGTAGACACCAATATTTATGACCCCTAGTGTTATTGTTAGGACCACGTGTTGTGGTTAACAAAATCATTGTCGGCTATCTGCTTATCAAAAAATAAATCAATACTAAAATTTGATTGACCAAACCCATTCTACTTTTCTAACTAATAAATGTGATTCTTCACTCAAGGCAAGGATTGAGAATTTTCTCTCATACTGTTTAACACAAACTTGTGAAAATATAAAATGTATACTATCCTTTCAGTCATTATAATATACTCTTAAAGGAATCTATTTTTTCTTTTGTCTCTCTTTTTTCTAAGAGAAAAGAAACCCAATTGTTTTGGCTTTTACATGCTTCATTTTAAACAGACTAATAATTATTCAAAGTAATTCCTACTAACACCTTGCTAAGAGTAGGAACAAGGAATGTTACAGGAGTAACGCAGAAAGAAACCGAATTAAACTACGAACTGAAAAATAGATACCTAGATATCAATGTCATCTCAGAAACAATAAAGAAGAATAAAGGCACAAAAGAATAAGAAGACCATATTGTAATATATTCGTGTGTAGAAGAAGAAAAACATGCAGCAGCTGGAGTAGCTTTGATAATAAATAAAAAATGGAAAGAAAACAAAAGAATACTACTGGATTTCTCCAAGATTGGTTACAATGAAAATAAAAGTGAACTAACATAAATTAAATGTAATAAGTGTATATCCACTAGTAGAAGGTCAAGTAGAAGAATCTGACTGTTTCTATACAGGATTACAACAATTGGTAGACCAAATAAGCCAAAAGGAGTTTCTCATTATCTCAAGAGATTTCAATGCCAGAGTAGGTAAAAAGGAAGTTCCCCCTTGCAAAGGGCCAGAAGGCAAAAAAACTCTAAATGAAAATGGGAAAACACCACTAAACTTTTACTTTTTCAATAACCTGATAATATCCAATAGTTTTTTTCAAACACAAAGATAAACATAAATATACTTGGGAAGCAAGAGGTACAAAATCTCTTCTAGATTATGTTATAGCCAGCAGAAACCTATTAAATTATGTAAAGAACACAAAAGTATATAGAGGGAGTGAGATAGATACACCCCACTATTTGGTAGAAAGTAAAATTAAATTAAACATACAGTGCATAAAAAACATGAAAAATAAGAATATTTCACTAGCTAAACTCAACATATACGTTCTAGAAGATGAAAGTATCAAAACACCATATGAAAGAAGAATAAGAGGAAAACTGCACATGGAAGAGAAACAAAATATGAAACATTTTGGATCTCACATAACTAAACAATGATTGAAGCAGGACAATAGAGGGTAGGTTACAAACCATTCAAGAAAATAAAGTTGAGAACATGGGACAACAACTTGAAAGAGATAGTAAATAAAAATAGATAGTATAGATCTTACCATCAAAAAAGAACAGTGAAACATTACATTGAATGTAAAAACTCAGAGCAAAAGTAAGAAGCAGAATACATGATGGGAAGACTGGAGAAAATTTATCAAAAGTATAGAAAGAGACATCTCTGGCCCCCAATGTATGGGATACAAAATTTTGAAAACGCTGCACATGAACGTGAAAGACCAAATAACACTCGACTGCACCCTTGTAGTAAATTAGATAAAACACTACTCCACCCTATGGAACAATCTAGATCCTAGAACAAACAAAGAGATAGAAGAAATAGATGACAGTAGTGACAGTGATGATTTAGACACCTTCTTGAATAGTGAAGAACTATAGACAGTATTAAAGAAATCAAAAAATAGGAAAAGTCCCAGAGCAGATTAAATCAATCCAGAAGTTATGAAATATGGAGGAAATGAGCCAAAAGAAACATTATTAAATTTTTTTAACAAAGTATGGCAAAAGAGGAAATATCAATAGAATGGCAAGAAGGTTTGGATATGAATATTCACAGAAAAGGCTCAAGGAAGAGCTGTGATAACTTGAGGAGTATCACAATATTATCAACAGCATCAAACTTTATGTAAACGTGTTGAGGAACAGATTCAATGCAATAGGTAAGAATTTCAAGGGAGAAGAGCAATGTGGGTTCAGAAAGGGATGGGGCAGTAAAGATGATATATTCACATTACAGATGATAATAGACAAAAGAAGAGACAGAAACTTACCAAAGTTTATAATATTCATAGTTTATGAAAAGGCATATGACAGAGTAAACAGACAGAATCTGTGGGAAATACTGAAAGAGGAGAAAATTTCAAATCAATAACTCAATGCAATCCAGAGTTTATATGAAAACTCCAACATTAAAATAATAATAAGAGATGGAAGAAATTCTACAACAATAACAACCAGCAGCAGCCTAAGACAGGGATGTGGTCTGTCACCTACTCTCTTCAACTTATATACAAACTACCTAGTGAGAAAGTGAAGAAAGAAAATTAAAATAGATATTCAAATCAGGAAAGACAAAAAAACAGATACAATCTTATAGACTAATAATCAAATAATCGTAACAGATTCTGAAGATGATCTACAAGGAGTAATTTTGGAACTGACAAAAGAGGCCCAGAAATATATATAACATATCAGTTCAAAAAACAAAAGGTAATTACTCTGTAAGAACAGAAGAGAGCCGAAATTGTAGTAAATGGAGAAATAGTGGAACAAGTCAACAAATTTTCATATTTTGAAAATATCATAAGTGTATTTAACCACACTCAGGAGGATTTAGAAAATAAACTGTACAAATACAACAGAATCTGTGGAACAATTAAACGACACTATGGCAGAGACAAGAATGCAAAAACAAAACTAAAAGTTCACAATGTAACAGCTAAACCTATTGTTATGTACAGCTCTGAGACAAGGTTAATGAAAGAGAGAGAAAAAATACAAGCAGCACATATGAGATTTCTGAGACACCTTGAAAGAGTTCCAAGAAGGAACAGACTGAGAAACAAAGACATTAGAAAGAAACTAAAAACTTAGTACGGGAAATATAAAACTCTCAAAGAAAATGGCAAGATCACCTTAAAAGAATGAACAATAACAGAAGGCCAAAACTAATATGGAAATATAAACCAACAGGGAATAGAGACATTTGAATACTGCAAAAGAAGAGGCAACAACAGGAACCCTTGGAAAACTAACTAACTTGCAGGAAAACTGCATAAATAATGGAACAGGCTGTTAAGCCTAAACACCATGATGATGATGACTAATTTTTTGTGTCTTATTTAATATTAATTATTTCATACGATAAATAAATATCATTTACTGCTGTTATTTTAATAGCAATATGTTTTTAATGAAATATTTTTAATTCGGTGGGCACCATAAAATGTTTTGAATACTGAAATAAATTTAGTCTTCCTTCTTTTTAACATATAACTTCTTATTTGCAATATTTATAAACTTTTTTCCCCAGGTATTACCTAAACAAAGCACGATTGAAGCAAAAAGTTCACAAGCAATCACTGTTACATTTACTCCTCCGGATAAACATTCATTTGGCTCCACTTCTTTCTGTGCCTATGTAATAGGCTTTATTAAACTGTCTCCCCATGATACGTAAGTTTTAATTGCAGTATGTGAACTTTTGCAACCTTTATTTAATATTTTTGAATCTTCTGAAATTCTTATAAACATACCTTCCTTTTCCAGTTATTCAAAAGGTCGTTTTTATCGGCCTCATGGAAAAAATCTTCCTCCAGTATGGGCAAGCTTAAATGCTGAAGTTGAAATGCCTTCTCTTTCATTAGAAACAGACTGTGATGATCTGGAATTTTTTGTAGAGGCAGCATGTGTATTAAGTCAATCTCAAAAACGACATATTGTAACCCATATGCTAAATGTGAAGAATAATTTTAAATCACCTATTACTGCTTTAGTTGATTGTCAAAAACCATTTGTCATAAAAGAAGTGAATACAATGGCACACAGACATATTAAAGTCATAAGTGATAAAAAAGAAGATACAGTTTTCACATTACTCCCTGATGAATGTGCTGAGGTTTGAAAACATTCAAATTTATTATCAGATAATATATCTAGTATTATATTATAAAATGTCAATCAAATTTTCAAAACAGGATTCAGATTGAGAAACTGAATCTAATATTTTCTTCCAGATACATGTTTCATGTGACATAGAAGAAAAATATATACTTCGTATACAGGAAGCATTTTGGAATGCAACAAACAAAGGATATTCTAGAGAGGAACAAGATAATTTCTCACGGAAAAGTGCAGTAATTGAATGTCCTCTCCAATTGGTTCAGCCAAATTTAATGGAGCAAGTGAGTGAAGTTGACAGTAACAGTAATTACATACTTGATGCTTAATTTAGAGCTACAGATGATGTAGTTTATTATGAAGTTTTGCAACTAATATTTGACGAAAGAAAGAAAATGGATTATTAAACCATGTACCATAATTCAATTAAATAACATTCAACCATGTTATTTAATTTAAACTATTTTTTTTAATATTACAATCTGCTGTAACTAAATATAAAAAAAACAACATTTTTTTACTTGGCCTTAACTTTATGAAACTTTTATTGATCTCACAACATTTTTACATTTGATGAACCAGAATCTCATACCTATTTCTCGCTCATGAAACATCCAGCATATTGGAGAGGTCACTAATAATAATAATATAAAATAATAATATAAGTGAATAAATAAATTATAAAATTGAGATATCATCACATTGTTTACGTTGAATCTTTGTAATATGCACATTCCTTTTTTTGCCTCTTTTTCCACATCTTGTGAAGCCATGGAGCCACGAAATCCCAACATTTCCATGCATACCTTTTTCTCCTTTTTCCATATGTTTATTTTTAGAGTCATATTTTTAATTTTATTTTGTATTATCAAAATAATTAAAGCTGAATATTCTTTGGACTGCTGAATTCCTATGATATTTTTTTGTAGAATTATATTACCTTCTTTTAGAATTTGTTTCTTTTGTTGAAGGAAAGATATTCCTTGTTTATGAGTAGAATACCTAGTTTGTGTAGTTGTCAGTTCACATGAAATATAGTACCTGCAATTTTGTGACATTTCCTTCAAGCACAGTAACTCACCATATATGATTTTAATAGCATCTTTCATCTGTTCAGCCAGCATTGTGGTGTGTTGTTTTCTTGTTCGACATTCATTATGTCCTGATAGTAACACTTTCAGTTCATTTTTGAATGTGTCTTCATTATCGGACATTTTAAGTCTTGTGAAGCACATATCATCTAACACAATAGCATGTATAATTCGTTGAAGCCGAACCTTGATTTCTTTGTATTTTCTTTCTAATTCTCGTTTTGTTTTCTTCTGCTTTTTCTTTTTAACTTTTAATGTTTCTTTTTGCAATAAAATGTGACTTTGGGTAGCTTCTAAATCTTGCTTAATGATTGCATCCTCATTGATTAACTGTTCTTTCTTTTTCTTAAGTATATACACATTTTTGTTGAAATCTTCTATTTCTTTGGTTGCTTCTTGATAAGCATTCTTCCAATTTGCTATTTCTTTCTTAACAGATGGAATAATTGTGTTGTAATTATCACTAATCATGGATTCAATTTGTTTAAGTTCATCTCTTCTAGTTGTCAGAGTGGACAATAATTGATTGTGTTCCTGAGTTATAGATGTACTTTTCTTCAGAAAATGTTGTTCCACCATTTTCTCAAATTCCAGGAACGAATTTAAGCAGTAACTTAATTTAATACCATCACTAGTTATATTTGTTAAATAAACTTCTTTTTCATGCAACTTCTTGGCTAAGCATGTTTTCTTCCTATTTAGTCCTGTAATTTTTTCTTGAACATTATTGACATGATTTAATGCAAAAACTGCAGCAAAATGAATTTTTGTATTTTGTTGAGATACATTTGATAAAGATACTGTTAATTCTTGGATTTTCTTGGACATTTCGCTGTTTAGGTGTTTTAATAATTTGTTTGTAGTTTTAATTTTAACTTCTATATATTTACACTGTTGTAACAAATTCATGTATTCTTTATGGTACAGTATAGCTTTTTCAAATGACAATTTTATTTTTTCATCATGAAAATTCTTTGACGAATCATATTCATTAGTCTGATGTTGAATGAATCCTATGCAAGTAGGAATAATCCCTCTGATTTCTTCATGAATTGTATTAACATTACTTGCTATACCTTTCTGTGTTGTTTGTGAAACATCTTCCATGCCCCTGGCCATTAGATTCTGTAAAGAGTCAGTTGGATTTTCAATAGATATTATTTGTTTCATAATTGCCATTGGAGTATTATTTTCAGAATCTTTAGCCCTCTCTGCTAACTCTAAGGGTTGTATGCAAGAATTGTTTTTTTGTATATACTTGAATCTAACCTCTTCCAGGTTTGTTTGAAGAAAAGTAACTGTTGCCAATAAAGTATTGTATATTTCTCCAATTGTATTCAACCATCGAGGATTGTTTCTTTCTCCTGCTAGAATGGATTCTTCAGAATATGTGTGAATTGAGGAAACTTCCAATTCATATGTATTTACCATTTCTCCTTCTGATTTGCTAGAAGATCGAGAATCAAGTGGAAAATCACATTCCAATTGCTGAATTGTATATTTTAATGCTTCTAAATCCAACATAATTTGCTGAAGTGGCCCACAACTTATTTTATTAATATTATTGTCCATTTTATCATTTGGTTTTCTGTTTTTGAAATGAATAATAATCAGTCTCTCTAGGTTACATTGCATTCTAGATTAGATAACTAGTTTGGTTGTTTACAAACATGAGAATTCTTGATTTTTTAATAAATTGTAAAAATACACTACTGCATATGGCTTCAATGCCAGAAAGCTCAAATTGTATTTCATCTGTTCCAGTAACTATGGTAATGTTTGTTAAAAGTTGAAGAGGGAGTACTTGGTAGATGTAAAAAATCAATACAAAATATCCACTTTTACAATAGATATTAATTAAAATAGTACAAATCTTTTTGAATTAATTTCTTTTATTTGCAGACTATTAAACTGAAACTCTGCATTGAATTTCCAATTATAACAGTGTCCACTCAAAAAATTGACTTTGGACCAGTGTTTGTTGGTAATTCAAAATGGATGGTATTTGAAATCGTTAATCAAACAGGTTTGTTATATTTAATGTATTTAACCTTCAATGTAATTATACAGTGAGATTCATTATTCTTTGTAAACCATGCTTTCAACTTGTAAAAGCTGAGATGTTTGAATTGAAAAATGAAAAAAATTAACTTAATAGGAAGAGGTATTATTGTTTGAACTTTAACAACCTTAAATTGTTTGACATCTCAGTATGTTCAACATTTCAGTGTCAAATGTTTGGTTCAATATATCAAAAGTGTACCAGACTAATGAGTTTTCGGTGAAACCATCTAGTGGAACTCTTTCAGCTGCACCATTATATGGGCGAAGTGGTCTACAAATCAAAATTACTTTCTCACCCACGTAAGGAGAAGCACAATTTCATCAGACTTTTTTGCTCAATAGCTTGAATAATTGAAACGTTGTATGAAAGTAGCATTTCATTACATTCATTTTCATTTACAGGGAGAGTATGTCTTACATGGATTATCTGAGAGTTCAGACCTGTGTACCTGGGGATGATCACATTGTTGTTATTGAGGGTGTAGGAACTGCTGACACTAAATTTCAGAGTGATTTTTAGATGGATTACAAAGTACATACAGAACAATGTTACATATTTTGTTGTTCTACTGCAGCAGCATGCAGAGTGAAATTATTGTGAAGTTATCAAATATTTTAAAAGGTATCCTGTATCAAATACATGAATGTATGTGTAATAGTCTTTAAACTCTTTGAGTTTCTGAATTCTTTTATACTACATGACATTACATGTGAATAATATTATATACTTCTAACATTGAAGCATGCCTAAAAAATTGAAAGTATGGAAGACATTTCATTAACCCAGTGATTGAAGTTTCATTTTTATTATTAATTATTTAAATTTGATTTTTCTGGTTCCGCCAATAGAATCTAAGTTTTTTATGATATTGTCAGCAACACAATACTTGCACAAGGGTGCAAGGGAACAGTTGATTTTTGTGTTTTTTTCTTTAAGAATTGACTTACATAATATTGTTGCTTTAGGAATATTTAACATTCTTTGAATGTACTTCAGTGCAATTTTCTCAAGTTGATTTGTATGTCATGAACATATGTTGTAGTCATATTTGAAGGTCATATTTGAACATCATCTCAACTCTGAAATATTTAAATTGAAAAAGTTGATTCCTTTATTCTAAATTTATCCTAAACTTGAAATTTTCAAATTTTAATCAGCTACCTATATCTCTTTCAAGATTTATTTTATATGCCTCTGAGTGACATCTGAATGGGATTTTCTTGCTCAAAATAATACCTTAGTACATGCAGGTTGCCTTGTGGTAATAGGTCTTCTTTTGTCATGCAGTTTCAGGTACTACACAATGAATGTGTAGTACCAGAAATTGCATGACAAGAGCAGACAGCAAGCTGTATGAAATTAACCAATGACTAAAAGAAAGAGGAGTTGAAAATTTCCCCGGCTCATGCCAACATCTTCCAACTATAATGAAACTACAGCTTTTCAAAATGCCAGAAAAACACTTGTTGAGAGATTAAAAAAGTACTTTTATTCACTTTTTTACAAAATGAGCTATGAAAAAGCCAACAGTATCTTGATTGTAATCATAATTGTCATAGTATAATTCTAAAGAATTCATTGGAGGTCCAAATCTTTTAACATACTGTCGCTGTTCTTCTGTGAGACCCATGTTTTCAAGCCCAGGTCCTCCTAAATTAGACTCAACTTGTGCCAGCTCTAAATAAGGAAATTTATTCAATGCCCATTTTATTAAGTGCTCATTCTCTGCTACTGTTATAGTACAAGTACTGTAGACCAAGTGACCCCCACGTTTCAGTAAAGCCACTGCCTGCAAAAATGTGAAAATATACAGTTAAGGATTATTTTTGTTTCATGACAATAACAATGACAGAAAAAAATATTCCTTAGTACATAAGATAATGCATAATGTCAGAATGTGTTTAAACACCTTAGTGGTGTCGTTTCTGTAATGACTAGTTTATGTTACTAATACAGGTAAATTTGAGTTCTCTACACATTCTGATTTGCATTCACATGCAGCAATGACAACATGTAGCCCTTGCTAGTACATTACAAGATGTCCAGTGTTACAGGTGTGCAACTGTAATCTAACTGAATTTGATCGATTCCCAATTGGTAATGATGACCAGAGTTGCCAGACAAACAAATGAATATCTCAGTACCAACCTTCAAAAATCCTAGTAATTTCACTAAAATTCATGGTACCAATGACAATTTATTTAAATTCTGAAATTGTTCATTTTATAACTCTATTATGTTTCAAATGCTCACAGAAAATTCGTTATACTTCACTCGATATCAATTCATTTTATAGCAATAAATTAAATGGAATTTCTACATGAGGGGTCCTAACCTTTTCTACTACAGCATGTGCTAGAAAAATGTCATCCTATGTCACTTTAAATGTTTTATGGCAGTGTTTTCACCAATATCATACATAGTTATTTGTAATAGGAGTATTGATGATACGTTTTAAATTATTGAATAAAAAAATATTACACATCTTAAATTGTATATTGTCAATTACTGATCACATAAAATTCTGGTATTTAAACGTACCAGGATGTCTTCATCCTGGTATCTTTATTAAAATCTTGGTAAAAATACCAGGATCCTGGTATGTGGGGAAACACTGATTCTAAACTAATTTATTTGATGGTGTTTTTTAAAACATATAGTTATAAAATGAACAATTTCAGAATTTAAATAAATTGTCACTGATACCAGGAATGTTAGTGAAAGAGCTAGAATTTTTTAAGGTTGGTAGTGAGATATTCATTTAATAGTAGTGCCAAGCATCTACTTTTCACTGAAAGCAAGCAAAGTTAAGTGAAACATTGGAAAAATATCTATTTCTTTCTTCTATATTCTATAATCTTTCTCTAATAATGTTTTAAAAACATGTCCATATACATTTATGAGGAAAATCATGATACTTACTGCTTGAAAGAGTTTGCGCTGTAATGGTGGATAAGATTTTAATTGTTTCAGAGAAACAGAACTAATAATTTGAGGTCGTTGACCCATTGCACTGCAAGGAGCATCAAGCAAGATTTTATCAAATGTTTCAGGAGGAAACGGTGGTTTCATTTCAATATTTTCAGGACATTTAGAAAGGTCTTCACATTTTTCTTCTGTAACTTTCTTCTGATGAAAATTCTGAATTTTTACTGTCCCATCTTCTGGTTTCTTTACTTCCAACACAGCCTTGGTAGAATCAAACACAAAAGATTTAACACAGCTGATTCCAAACTGCTGACAGCGATCTCTAATAGCATCAACTTTGGTACTTGTTTTGTCAATTGCTATTACAGTACCCTGCAACAAAGATTTTATTACAAAAAATATTCAATTCACAAAATATTAGTTATAATTCATATTGTTGATGATGTTGCCCCACCACCTTTCGTGATTTTGCATATTTTTGTTGTTGCTTCAGTGCATAACTAAATTATATTTCTTGTCATTTGGTTAGAACATAATGCTATGTAGATTAATTTAATATGGCATATTTGGCCAATTTTTGCTGTTTGACGATATTTGGCCGTTGGTACATATTGGTGTAATTATAGGCGCTTATTTTGCATATTTCGTTACAACAGAGATTATCTATAAAATGTTTCATCTTTACATAGAATCTATTTATTTGTGAGCATGCATTGATTCAATACAGCTTTTCACAGTTTCCGCTCTTTTTTTTGTTTTTTAGAGATGATAAAATACTTATGCAAACGTAGGGTATTTCTTGACAACACATTTTTTAAACTAGTCAGAAGAAATATAAGACACAATGTATTTCACTAAGGTGAATATTTACTTCAATTATTTCTCTCATGAAATAGGGAGGTTATATTACGTGTGCACAAAAATATATCTTTTCATTCCAAGCATGCTTTTCCTGAGTTTTATCGAAAATTTTTATAGAGGAAGGGAAATATTGTTAATTTTAATCGCATATTACAGAATTTTTAAGACATAAATGCATATTTTTAAACACACATTTCAAGATTTTTTGGAACATAAAATCCACTCCCTATTTATTATATTTTGAATAACAAGTTGAATTGTTTTACTCAGTTATTTTTATAGAGTATCAATACATTAAAATGAATATCTCTGAAATACATTTATAAATGAACGCACATAAATATTAGATCCTATCATTTTTTTATTAAACTGAATCAGTCTTTATGAAGGAGAAGGAGTATCACCATTTATATCGTAAGCAATTTCAAAAACTGACAGAAAAATTACAAATCACTTGAAATTAAAATAAATACTTAAATTATGTGAATATTATTGAATCACTTTGAAGAGAAATTAAATCATTCCGAGCTCTATATTCAATTGCTTCAGAGTAAATGAATGCAAGTGCAATGTGAAGTTACTACAAATCTTTCTCAAATTAAGCATTTCACAATGATTTAACCTCAAAAGAGAGAATATCAATAATTACTTAATAAGAAAGGTTTTGAAGGTGTCAACAGAAAAGTTTGCAGAGAAAATCCCTTCTTGCCAATAATTCGAGTAAAGACTTAATACTTTGTTGCATCTTGTGGGCAATGAGATTGGTGAGTGAAAATTCTTAATAACTTCAGACAGTTTTGAAAAAAAAATACTTAAATCCAACAATGCTTAATAATTTTACAAATAAAGTTTGAAGTTCTGCAGCTTAGCACAAGTCAGAAATATAATTCACAGACAGAAGGAAAGATGGTATACCATTTAAATAAGTTCTTTTCAGCAATTTCTTTAGCATTCTCTAAATGAACAGATTTAAATTCAATATAACTTTTAACATGTTTCTTAGTTTTTAATATTCAATCCATCAAAATATGGTATTTTTCATTATTTTCACGAAAATAGGATTTTTTCGAAAATAAATATTCCCTAATTCATCTGGTGCAACTTGAAGCCCTGCCATTTTGGAGAGAACTTTATATATAAATATTTTTTAATTTTAAATATTTCTCATTTTGAGGAATTTTATGTTCAGTAAACTGGACATCAGGTTCCAGCTTAGTATGTACAAGGAACACTACAAATTATTAGAACTGGGAATGGGGATAGAATTTTTATAGTAAAGCATTTATTTTCCTTTTTCTATAATAAATAATATTTAATATCAACAAATCATATTTCATGTTTACTCTAAAACTAATTTTGAAAAAATAAAAACCAAATGGGAAAAAAACCAAACATTGTCTTCGTTTATGCAGATAAACACATCACATGAAACGCTCTTAAAACGTTTTTTTTTAGTGCAGTGAACGTTTCTGCATCTAATGAATTGTTCACTGTGCCACTGTCTCTTGTTGGAATAGCTTTTTTCTTTTTGTTTGTAATGGCATGGTGGAAACCTCTTCATAGCATTGTATGTCACTAAGATCTATTCCTCCCCACAAATGATTTGTAGCGAACTATAGTTTTGGGACATGAGATAAGAAAGAGAATATATTGTTTCATCTCTCATTTTTGAGTGGATGTGGTAGTCATTAGAACTGAAGTCTTCGTGGGTAAGCCGTAACAAAATTTTTCAAACGCAATGGATTTGGTTTACTCTTCACACTGTTTGAGATTTGGGCACCCTGAGAATTGGATCAACTGTTCGTCAATACACAGGTCTGTACTAGGAGGGAGGGAGTTGCATTTATTTTTCACTGCATCAATAATTTGTTGTACTTTCCATAGTCAGTTTCTTTTTCGTCTCAGAAAGCTCAGACATATAATCAATAAATTGTATATATTTTTCTCAAAGCAAAAATCTGTCTCTAAGAATTTGTTACAGTTGGATCTCTCAATCCTATTCGATAATAAAGCCTCAACTTTCATAACACCTGTAATTATGTGGGGACCTACTAATTTCTTGTATTCTTCTGAAATTCTTTCTCTTGAAGGTTAGCCTGAAGATTTCAATGTGCCCTCAATTTCATGAACTGAACCCTAATGTCCAGTCGGCTGGACACAAAGTTTTAGGTTAAATATTTGTCATATTTTAATGGTTGTGTAATATTAAATGCACTGAAATATAACAATAATATTGTAGAATGAATACAGCCTCAGTCCCTTTATTTGAAATGTATATTAACCAAATAAAAAATTATAACATAAACAAATCCACCCTGACAACTTTTCCTCTCAGTGCCATTTTGAATATTGCAGTGCAGCCAATATATACAGTAGTGCCACACAAACCAAAAAAATATCAATTATAATGGAGATGTACAGTATGATAAACACGATTTCCAATACTCTAATCATAACTTAAGTCAAGAAAAACCATGGCAAAAACTGTTCAACCAACTGGACACAAGGACTGAGGAGGATATAGGTACAGTGCCAAGATAGACCTACCCAATATCCAGGGAGCACAAAGGTGCCCTTCATTGGAAATGTTCTCACAGGAGCAAGAGTCTACAATCACAAAAATTAGGAAAAATTGAAAACTAATTATAATAATCTTCATTCTTTCTTTCATTAATTATTTTGAATTTTGTACTTTTCATTACTTAGATTACTGACATAATTTGGAAATAATTATTATCTACTTGAAGGTTTTAAAAGCAATATTCAGCAACGACTATGATTCAGAAGTAACAATTCACTTAATTATAAGAACACCTCAGAATTTCTTAGTCTCCTAGTTTTTCCCAAGCAGTATAATTATTCTGTAATTGTTTACTATTGTAACCTTTCTTTTACCTTATTGTTCATAAGCATCGCCAAATGTGTAGTTTTATTTCCTGGAGCTGCACACATGTCTAAAACAGTTTCACCTGCAGAAGGAGCTAAAGCTCTGCAGCTCAGCACAGAGGGTAAGTTTTGTAGCATGGCATACGAGTCAGGGATGCAATTCAGAGGGAGAGATGGAATAGCACTTCGAATATCAATCATTTCAATGGCAATTCCTCTGAAAGCAGAAAAATTAAGAAAGAAACTTTGATTTTCTGAAACAGCATGTTAATATTGACTGAAAGCAATGAAAGAAGGCACCATAAGAAAACAAGTTGCCCTTCTTGTAACTTGGAAAATCAAACCTGATTACTTTACTAGTGCAGCTTTGCCAAAAAGATCATTTCTTCCAATTCTCACAATGCCATTTCCAACAAAAAACTTTTCTTCAGTAAATGAACATATTAATCCACGAGTACATTTATTTTTAACATCAGCAAACACACTAACGTAATCTCCAGAAGCAGTATCTGAAAACAAGTTATATTTGTATCAAAATAGAAGTCGAGGAATTAAATAAAATTCCTAGATTTTACATGTACCTCGACTCATTCCTTTTATGCCAGGTGCAAACACGTGAGCACCACGTAATACTGCTACTCCGCAAGCTATGTCAACTATAACTTCTTTGTCTTGAAAACTCAAGTTCAATGATGCTACATCCCACGAATCCATTAGCACTACCTCAGGCATTTCCTCGTGTATAAATACAGAAGGAGCATCTAATCCCCGAGACACAGCTTGCTGAAATCAAAACATTCCATTTTTTCATGAGTGTATATTTACTATTTTACTTCAAAATAATATGAACTTTTGTGCATCAAGATTTTACCTTGGAAAGTTCTTTATAAATGATATCTTGAACTTCCTCACCTCTGTGAGCTAATGTATTCACTCGATAAACAGTGTATTTTGGAGTAATAGTCAACCATGATGTCAAGTTTGCTAAGTACTGTTCACGAAAATTATTTGTAATGAAGTACCAAACCAACTTTTTAATTACAAATAATACCAAAAAATAGAGGGGAAATGACTATAACTTACATCTCGGTTAGTACTTGACGAGTTTCCACCTAGTTCATCTAGCAAATAAATTGATAATTCCAAGTCATTCCAGTCTGGTATATTGGACATTCCAGTTAAACTCATTTTCCAAAAAGTTTTTTTTTCTTCTTTCAATATTATAAAAAAATTATTCACGTAGTGAGCTCTTTTTCTTTTGCGTAACAAATATCCATAACCTAATCCGATACGTCTTTGGCAAAATGCCCTTTTATCGTGTTAATGCAGTTCATCACACCTCCAGTTTGGATTCCTGCACACCAGAGAGTATGTTTCATACACAGGACACACAATTCTGAAACGTGTGGCACTTCACCGGATCCTTGCCGTTTCGGAACTTCGAACCTGCTTCGAAGAGCGGTCGAAACAGGTCGAAAGTCCCTCCACGTCGCCGAGTAGGATGGAAGGACACAGTAGCCATAGAATAAGTATTCTTCCATGGTACTCGTATTAATATTCAATTTCCTTGGTGTCACCACAGTATATATAGAGTTATACTGTAGTTGTTACAATAAATATACCGTGGATTAATAGATGTAAGGATGAATATGTGTTAATCCATAGTTATACCGTGCAGTCACATTAACACGTAGAGATTCATCCATGGTGCTGTGGTTCAACCATCATCAGGGACGGATGTACCTACAATCAAATCCAGCAGTTGCTTGGGGGCCCTCATCCATAAGGGGTATCGCGCTTTGGAAAAATATGAAGAACCTTTGTATATTATATATATATATATATATATATATATATATATATATATATATATATATATATATATGGCTTTTTTCATGCTAATAATGCAATAAAACACATGGCTGCATCTTTTAAGTGTAATTAATATCCATTCCATTCGAGGTGAAGCCTCTCGTATTAAACAGGTCTTTCTTGAAATTAACGTATCGTACTTACGGCCATTCAGGCTAGAGTTCGGCCCTTTCAGGCAGGGCGGCGCCCTTCTTGGCATCCATGACCTCGGTGGCTCAAGCAGCGACCTTTCCCCTGGCCGTTTGGTGCAGCGCGGGCCTGGCTTCCCATTGTGGGTCGTCGGGTGGGTTGCCTCTTCCTCGCCCCTTTGCGAGGCGTTCAGGTCAGCAGGTGGCGTCCCGGGGCGCTAGCAACGCCTGATCCGTCGCGCAGACGGTGTGGCTCGCGGGAACAGTGGTTGCGCCTCGGCCCGTCGTGAGTCCTGGGCTCGAGTTCAAACGCTCTCACAGTCATTGCCCGGTGTTCTTCCTGGCCCGAATGATACCGGAGCGGTCCGCGATGTTGCGGCGATGCATTCGGGCGGCAGTGTCCTTTCGCGACGCGCGGCGTTCGGCGGCGAGTGGCAGCGCGGTCAGCGGCGTCCGCCATTGACAAAAGAAACTTTCTTGGCTCTCGCCTCCTCCATCGAAATCTGAACATCACGCTCTTGCCTGCTTCATCAGAATGACCGATCTTGTGAGCTGCGTCGACTTCCCTGGGTCGGGATCACGTGGTCATTCGCCGTTTAGTTTTCAGCGATCGGCACGCGCGCATCACGCGGTTTCTTCTACCCAAACGCGGTGTTATCGGTGACCTTTTGGACTTCACAAAGTTCGGTTGAAATTTCGTCGTCACCCGAGTTCTTGAAAATTGCAGCAATGAATAACCGCGCTGGGATCGTCGGCTTGCGTATTTTCCAATGAGTCAGTGTCGTAGCTCGAGGCGCGCTCCTGTCGCAAACAATGTAGCTTCTGGACTCAGCAATAGAGCTTCTGGAAAGCGCGAGCAAGAGTTCGAAGTCAAATAACACGAATACTAATGGCATTCAAGTAGTGGAAGAAAACAGTGCGACGGGAAGACAGCGAATCAACAATGATAGTCGTGGGATCTCCGGAAACCAAGAACAAAGGCGAAGCGAAATGTGTAGCGTGGGAGGAGAAGAAGAAATGATGAAGTTGAAATACTAGTGGAGGATAAGAGATAGGCGGTATGGCAGAAGCGTGCAGAGGGCTCTGAAGTTCATGTGGGGGAGGCGGCGAGTCGTACAACGGATAGAGTCGTAGAGAGATCGGCCCGAGCCGTTTCATAGAAGGTGGGCGGTCTGTGTACCGGTAAAAATGGGAGCGGATGTGGGAACAGAGGATATGCAGCATGCCGGTAGACCGGACATTGTTACGCAGAAGTGGCACCTCATGGAAGGTCGGAGATCGAGTAAACGTGATGCCGGAGGCGATGCCGCATTCGAACATAAACCTCCGTAATCATCCAAGAAACTACGGTCCGCAGGAGTAGGAGGAGAAGAAGAAATAGAGGAAGTTGAGGGAAAAAGTGAGACGAATACTACCGTTGAACTGAAACGCGTTGCTTTAGTTATTAACAAGGGGGAGAACAGTGTTCGAAAAGAGAGAAGTGCCCGTTATGTGAATATCAATTTCGAATGAAGTTAACAAATGCTACGCATTTGGGAGCAAAAGTTATCCAATTCCAAGTACGACTACTAATCCAGTAGATGAAGGACGGGATTGTAAGAAAGACAACCACCGCAGATATTGATTGGATCCTGGGAGTTAATAGAGAAAGATCCCGCTTTTAATATAGACAAGCAGCATAAGATTGTTCCAAAGAAAAATGTTGAAGGGGGAAGAAGGGGGCAATGAGGCGTTTAAGGCAAGCCCGGAATCCCCACAACACCCACACATCGTCGGCGAATCCAGCGAAGATCCCCGAAGCACAGGAGAGCTGAATAAATTATTCCCGAAACAGCGCTATCTATTAGTTGCTGCCCGCGGCTCGACTGCGGCGAACTTCCAGATCACGAAAAAATGCGGAAGGGTTCGTCGTGATGTCACGCTACCTATAAATAGCGGTGCAGCTGACTGATCGGCCATTTTCTGTACGAGACGCCGAGGGCGGTGAGCGAAGGCCGGTAGGGCGGAGTCGACATCTTGTCATGGGACAGCGCTAGTAAGAACTTCTTTTCTGTACGAGACGCCTATGTGAGAGGTCCAGTGCGGCCACCCAGAGCGGTAGTAATTAGAGAGGGCAATGTTATTTTGTACGGGACGCCGAAGAGATCTGACGTGCGTAGAGAGCTAGATATGAGGATTGTGAGACGCAATTTTGTAGAAAGTACGGTGCGAAGTAATTGTTCAGGCGAAAGAATAGTGCGATAGCGGAAGATTCAGCATTCTGAACTGTGATTAACTAGGCGAAGTGTAATATTACATAAAGACTCTGGAAAGTAGTGGAGTACCTAATTCGAGGCGGAATAGGGACCGCGAAAGCGAGAACTGTGAGCTGTTGAGAGGCGTTAGTAGAACTGTGCGGTTAGCTACACGATCAAGAAGGGTTTAAAGAACGCAAGAAAACCGATACTCCGTTAGCAAACACGCGTGAGGGCTGTGAAATGCGCGTCAGCGTGCCGCGTAGGAAGAGAGGCGAAGAAAGAAGCAGAGGCGATGATTCCAGTGACGGGCGTGGTCAAGAGGAGAGACGAAAGAAGATCGGACGTGAATATGGTGGCAGGAGAGAAGGAGAAGACGGCGTTTCAAGCGACATCGCGGATGGCTGGTCTGCGAGGGATCGAGGCTACGGTGCAGCCGGAATTGGGCCAATGTCAAACGACGGCAACGCCGAACGGTTTGCAAGCTGCATATTGAGCACCCGTCAAAGGTAACAGACATTTTGTAAAATGATTAGGAGACGACAGAGACGTGAGCGATAGCGCAGCAGCAGAAAGGCTGTAATTGTAAATTTGCATATTCACGTAATATCTGGATAACGGCAAAGGAATTGAAAGAACCTTGAACGCCGGTAATACAGTTCATTCTAATGTTACGAGAAATACTGTGTTAATCTTTGTTACTCAATTTTGTGTAATCTTGGCAAGGAGATTTTAACTGCAAATAAGTGTAGTAAGTAAGCCAATCAATAACGTGTTGTGCTTAAAACTTAAGATTCAGTATAGAAAATGGATATAGTTTTGTAGCAACTACTCAGTCAAGGGAGTTAATATTTGTGGTTTAAACGGTGCCGACCAAGCAATAGTTACCGTGTGAACAGTATTTTTGATTATTTGTGTGCAATATTGAATATTTGTGTGCAATTTGACATTTGGGATTTTTATGTATTCTTTGTCAGTGCTGATATATGTGTCATATTCTGGAGAATATACATATTGTTTTTGCCTAATTCTGTGTCTGGATGTAAATTTTTCTCATACCCCAAAAGACCCTGCCCCTTGAGATTACAAAGCTCGTTCAGAGCACTCTTTCTAGAGCCGGCAACTATAATGCTAGCGTTAGAATATATATATATATATATATATATATATATATATATATATATATATATATAATTTATACCCCGCAATACTTAAATCCCGCTCTGAACAACATTCATCAAAGGTACATGCAAGAATATTTCTTCTATGATACCACCATGATGAATCCTTGATACATTCGTCTACCATGGTACATGGTATCATGGTAAATTATTATTTTTCCCGTCGTAATTCCCCTGCAGTAATGTTTTCTAAGTTTTGTTCAAATGACATTGTTCCCACGTTGAAAAGTTAGACTGGAACACGAACACACATATTCATATCCATCATTTTTTTAATACCAGCATTTTAGGTAACAAAATCCAATAGGTAACAATATTATACAAAATCGGTCTGTTCCTATTTTTTCTCCAAAATATTCCATAAATATTCTATGGGATTAATGTCTGGAGATTGCGATGGCGTATCCAGATGTTCTGGTGCGTTAGAAAGGATTCACATTCTTGTGTTTTTTAGCCCTGTGCTTTGGATTATTGCCCTGCGGAAAAATGAAATAGTCTTTGAGGCCCATTTTCCCAGCTCTTTTGTGTACTTTACTTTGCACAATATTGATGTAGATTGCATGGTCCATTGTACCACTTAAAAAGTGAAGATTGCCCACACAAGAAGCACTCATACACCGCTAGCCCAGTACAGGACCACCTCTGTATTTCACTGTGGCCTGGACATTCTCTTCGTGAAATTCGCAGTTTCTCTTCCTCCGCGCCATACAACTCCCATCTGCACCAAATATATTTATTTTACTTTCAATATATTATTTACTTTCACCAGTAAAAGTAAATTGGTTCCATATTTATTGAGAACTGTTTCAATATTTTTTGTAAATTCTAAGCGTTTTTTCTATTAATGTCATTAATTCATAATTTCCTACGCGCCACACATCCATGATATATCACTGTTTCATAGTATTATGCGAATTGTACTTGGAGAAGTGACGATCCTAGAAGCAAGTATTGGAACATTAAGTTTTGGATATACTTGAATGTCGCGAAACATTTTCTTGGGTCACGTTCATTCTGCAACTATGGCTGTTTTCCGAACATAGTACCTATCAATTTCATTACACACTGTAGTGTGTGAT